TCAAGTATGAGATTGGAGGAGATTGTGAATCTTCAAACCAACTGACTTATCAAGGTTCCATGCCGAGCAGGTTATTGAACAGAAATAGAAATGAGATTAATCATAGACAGGAGAAGCCTAAGAGAAATAAACTCTTCCAATAGAGATTGCCCCACGCAGATTTCCGTTGTTGCCTAACTAATGAGGCTCTCCGTGTAACGACTAGTTCAGCTGACCTTATTCATCGTGAGAATCCGAGCTTTTTTGCAATCACGTGCCAGTATTCTTGCAAATATACCCTCCCCCCTCGGTGTTGATTTTTCATTTCAGGCAAAATGTGCTGCCACTGCAAAATCTAATTTCATGTGAAGACAAACAAGAATCTTATGAACTTATATCTCTGGAAAGTACAAGCTGCTGCTCCGAACGCAAACTGCAGGCATAAAATAAAAGATAGAAGATTGTGCGTGTTTAGTTCGGCTTTTCTTTCAAAAAGCTGTAGATAATTATAACCAAGTGGTGCTATGAAATTTGGAAGAAGGTAGTAAGCAAGGATTAGGTGTAAGGAGGAAAACGAGGGGAAATTGTCGAGGAACGGAGAGAACTTATTTGGAGTTTTATGCATAAAGCTTGAGCAAATATTTATTGCAATTGCAGGGATTTAATGCAAAACAACAAAAATTTTGTCATGCAGAAGTTCCTCCCCTCCCCTGCCATTGTCAGAAGAAAAATATAGGATTGTCCCCTTTTAGAGTATATGTAGTGTGTTTTGCACAAAATGCAGCAAATGGACCCTGTCTGTCAACAAGTAAGGTAACATTTCTGTTTGAATAAGCCTGCAAAGCCTCGTTTCTACAGTGATTTGCTTTTGTATTCTGCCTTCGTAAGACAAGAAGAAACACAAGAGTAGAAATGATTGACATCTCCATTTCCTTTCTATCCTTTCTATGAAAGATTTTAAATCCTAAAAAAGAGATGTCATTGACTTAAACTCCAGAAAATTGAATGTCCTTTTCAAAAGGTAATGATATTGAGATGAATAGTCGTCATTTTCGCAAGCACCAGTTATATTCCCAGAAAGATTAAGTTCTTAAAAGCATTTACTTCACTGACCATATACAAAGGGTTCATCATGGAGGGGGTTCAGCAAAATCTTGACTGAACAGTACATAAGTTATACTGCATTCACTTAAGTTAAGTGAAAGTGCTCGATTCGAAAATTCATTTCTTCTCTCACTCCGTCAAAACATTCAGGTTAGAGGATAATTTTCTTCATCTTCGGACCATAGGTAACTCCGCACGCATGAAGAGAACAAATTTCGAGAATTTTCGAGTTTTCTACATGTTTTTTCCTTATCGTATCAAGGGCACTAAGGAGTTGGCGCCGAAATCGGATCCACAATGCCAACTGTATTTTTGGGAATTCAAAGAAGAGAAGAAGCACAATGACAGGCAGAGAAAAAATTTGTAGAGAGATTTTCGTGATTATGACCACCGTGAAACTTGCTGGCTCTGTGTGCATTTGCGACATCTTGGTCATGCTGGTGAGTAGACCCTCTCACCTTTTAGGTTTAAAGCAAATTTGAGCAACAGGCTTGTGAGTTTTTTACATACAAAAAGAAAGGCGTAACTATTAGCCAGCTTAGTTCGTAGCAGGGATAATTTTCAAAAAAAAAACAACGGAAATTACCGCATTCCAATGACTGGCATTGCAATAGCGTTTGGTTAATTGAAGCTTCGGAAAAGCTCTAAAAGACATTCTGCGGTGCGTCTTGTGAATTAATACCACATTTATGTACGAACATATCTAGGAAAATGAATGGCCAGACACTGCGTCAAATATGTTCGCAAAACCAAGCTTTAGCGTAAGCAAGATGGAAATGGTAATGCTTTTTGCCAATTTTCGCCAAAAGAGTCGCCTCTAACAGCACCATTAAGCTTTTGGAACCTTCTCCCTCTTTAGCTTCGGTTGCTAAGAGCATTGAAGAAGCATCCAATTTGTCAGTAGACGGCAGACAGCTTCAAAGAGTACATGGAACTTCCGGGATGGTTTTTATGACTGAGGTAAAAGTAAGCCCTTCTAACTTCCCACAGCCAAAGTTCGAAATTCGACAAGAAGCCAGAAAACGAACAGCGATGCTCTTTGATGTTTGCTTGAGAAAAGCAGAGATAGAGGAAAAACTTTCGCGGAATATACCAGAGCGGCTATTCCGAGATTTACGCTTAAAGTGTGTTCAACTGCGACATCTGTTTGAGCACTCGACGGGCACTCGAAAAAGCGCTCGGTAATTTCTACCAACAACATTTCCTGTTCTTCGGAACAGGGCTGAGGGTATGGGTCCCATGCAGTGCTGAAAATTTCGGAAACAAAAAAGATGAAAATTTCTGAGATACATGCTATTGCCCTAGCATTTACAAGAATTTAAAGTCTCGTCCTGGATGCTACTCTTCTCAAAAGAATTGAGATTTGGAAGCCTAAATAAGCGAAAAGAAGGCATAGAGTCTAGCAAAAAAGCTTGCGTTTACAGCGCTTGACATCATTTCATAGATTTTGTTATTTTTTGCTGGATCTAGTAAAGTAGAATTTTTTTGCTTAAGCTAGAGAAACCTGTGGTACATATGGCAGCTGGTGAAAACCAGTGAAGTGATAGAATGGAACTGGATAGTTGCAAACATTTTCATCCTCCCTTACATAACATCAACAGAATTAGTTTTATGAGGGCTGAACCAGCTGAGCCCAAACTTTCCTTCTATCAACTGAATTAGGCAATTCTTAGCGAAATGCCCCTGAGGTCTCTAGCTCCTTCATATTTTCACAACCTTTAGTTGGAAGATATGAAGTTAACTTGATGGCTCACTACTTCGCGAGGAAAGGTCGATATGTACAGAAGGAAACAACAACGCTAATTTAAGGATTACGAATACCTTTATCTATCAAAGACGTTGCTTTGTAATAAAGGATATTCTTAGCAACACAGACTTAGCGAGGCTTGCATTCTATTTTGATTGACATTATATTTCATCTGCAGAACAACAATTCAGCTCAAGATTACTGCAACTACCAGAGATCCATCTGTATAGCGCCATTGTTCGTAGAAAAGCATCAACAATATCACTGTTTTAGCTCACCACAAACATTTTTCTTTGGCATTTATCAAAAATATCAGCTAAGCACCTACAAGATACCTAGAAGTAGAGATTATTTTCGCACAACTTTCACTATAGAGGAGATTATGCAGATGAATTTATGTGGACCAACTGATCGCACAAAAATGATGCCTTCGTTACGTTCGGATTATTCGAAATTATCTTGGAACAAGACGATTTGATGAACTATAAACAACGCCACGAATGTCGAAAGAAGAATTTTCGACTTCGGATAAACATTTCGGAAAAGATATTTTTTTAGACAGGAAATAAAAAGTAAGAACTACACAAGATTAAAAGACGTATAATTCGAGAACAAGCTTGAAAAAACCTTAAAAGAACTAATTTGAGCATCCTCTCTTTCACAACAACAGGCGACACTCACATCGGATCTCCATCGAAAGGGACTTTCGCTCTTTGGATTCATACATGTAACTGCTCACATTCACGCATTTAGAACTTTTATCGGTAATCTCGCTTTCGCAAATTGTCGTAAGAAGGCAAAGACCAGACTGTAAATGAGTATATGAAGTAATAAGTGGTCAGTGGGTGGCGTTCTTCGAAGGACTCATTGTTCAAAGTGCATTGTACTAGCTACTTCATGGTGTGTATACAAGTGACGCTGTCTGATTCGTTGTATTGTGGCTAATGAGGAGAGCTAGGTACTCAAAATATGTCAATCGCGGTTGCGATTCCTTTAAATTTTTATGGTAAGGGGGGATCCGTGTTGATAATCTTCTTCAGAAGATCTTCGTGTCTGAGATACAAGATGAACAAGAAAAACACAGTAATCAATCGGGATTGCTCGAAATGTTGCGTGTTGAGGTGTTTAAGATAAACACATCTATGTGGGAACTAGAATTCTAAAAATTGGAAGTCTATATGTTACTAATACATATTAGTTATGGTATTAACATAAACAACGCTTATCCTCGAACACCTTTTTGAGATTCTAATTTTCAGAAAGTTGTGCTACACTGAATTCTACTACACATATTGTTCGAAAACGTAATGCTCAAAATTAATTTTTTATCTCTTAGATGAATCTTTCTCCTTTTATCTTCGTTTTGTTTTACTGATATTAGGTTGGCTAAAATAATTTCGATCGGTTTTGCGGCTCCTACAGTTGCTGCAAACAATTTTTTGTCTAGTATATTTAATACCTCTGGAAAGGGCACTTCAATGAGAATTCGAACATAAAACTGTTGTGTTAGAATTAATTTTGCAATGAAAGAAACCTACGAAGGAGTGACCAAATTTTCTCATTGTGCGCAAATATGAGAAAATTTGTTTTTTTTTCGGTCAAAGAATTTTGAAGTTTCAAATCACGATCTTCATTGATAGTCGTTAAGTAGGAAAAACTCGTTTGTATCTAAGTAAAATTTCATGCCAAAACGAAATTATTTTTCAGCCAACCTGACATTTTTAAACTTTGAAGCTTCCTTCAAAACTACTGGCACATACAGAGGAAGCCGCACTGCCAATGTAGCTCTTGTCCCCGAAACCATATGGTTTAAAAACACATATAAAAATAATCAAACCTTGTTTTCCTGTTATTTTTTACTATTGTAAAATCTGAGCTATTAGCGATCGAAAATAGATCCACAATTGCACCTTCGCTGTTTTACAAGGATACAATGTGCCAAGTCTCGAAACAGCTATTTGTAACATATAAGTAAGCTGCACATCGAAAAATTGTAGTCATCTATATCAAAGCTTTTGTTCATGCACTAGATAGGTTTTTTTACTTATATCTAGCTAAAACTCTACTTTTGTTAAGTTGCTTGAGATGTTCGTTTTCAAACTAATGATGTCATCTGAAGAATACATTGACTATTACATCAGAAAATCGTCGTGATTAAACTATTTTATAGTCCATGACAACTGCATCATTCACTCAGTTCGTGCGTACGATGGAGGGCCAGTATCAGGTGTGTTGGTGATTGTTTTGATAAAACATAACCTTTTGCCGGAACTGACCACATATTTGTGACTTTAAAACAGAAAAAGAGCAAAATATGGACTCAGCTCTTGAAATTTTATTTGTTTCTGTACATCTTAGGTGTCCTTGAGCCATGCTCTGGCTAAGGAATCGTCTGAAGATAACATTTCACGAATGTTACCGTTGAAAGATCCGATTATCATACTGAACAAAAAGGAGGTTGGAAACTACAATCCGAATATGAAGGAAAAGGCAAGTAGTTTCCAGCCTTTATTAGTTTCCTTTCAGAGTTACCAATAAAAAAATTCAAGAGATTTGCGAGCGCAATGATTGCATAAACTATAAAGAAACTTTTTGTGCAATCAAGGAGGAACTAGTCAATTACCATTAATATTAGAGCACAGTTAAGCAATTGAGCACCACCTGCAAGAAAGCACAGCATCATTGAAACATAGGAAAACCGAACATACATTTCATTAAAAGTGTTTCCCCATGGATACCGGGTGCCAACTCGCGTGGAATAAAAATTAATTTTTTGCCACTCAATCCAAAACAGGGCCAAGCACGAGGTGGCATTTGAAAATTTTGAAAACGAATTCTTCCTTGATATTGCAGAAGAAGAGATACCTTTTGTGCTGTTTGTAAGTACGGCTACTGTACTGCAGCGAATGGTGAGTGAATGGAAATAAGAAAAGAAAAGGAAAATTGAAAATAAAAGCAACACGTGAAAAGAAAGGCGGTTTCAAATGTGGTCACTGGCCATAGCAAAGCAGAGGAAACGAAATCTGGGACGAAGTGAGTACTCATAAGCATAGTTTGAAAGGAGGAATAGATATATGGAGAAAATTTTGAAAATTATGAGAGGAATGGTGAAAGTTATTGATTTTGTTGGGGCGCAACCTTAGCGTGCTCCCAGGTGCTCCCGGGAGCAAGCTGAATTGAGAAAACGCTCGCAACTCTTCTCATTCACATATTTTTTCATAATTCTTCATACTCTGCTTTCTGTCGTCGTCGCGAAGGTACACACCAAATTCAGTGCTCAATATTGCTTAACGGTTGTAAACCACAAAACGACATCCAGCGTGTGAAAGCACCACCTCTGCTGAGCCCTGATCCAAAACCCTCACGAGCTTCAGCTGGTAGTCCAATAGTTTTTTTGGCTGTAAAAGCAAAAGATTTGAGCATAAGAACTGGATTTTGGACCTATGCGAATTATTGTACTTTGCTGGAAATGATTTGGAAAACTGCAATGGTTTTGCATAAGTTTAGAAGTTCTCTGGAACATAACGACAGCTCAGTAAGAAACATACTAGGAAGGCTGCTTAACCCGTGTTTACCGTTTCGCGTTTTTTTTCAAACTTTTTCGCTCAGAGCAAGCCTTTGACAATAACATACAGTACCAACACTGCCGCCTTGAAATCCTACGATATAAGCGCAATGTCGCGCCGAAAATGCCGCATCGCGATAGCTTGCTTGAACTTCAATCAATCGGATTCTAGTTTAAATATTTGGAATCAGCGCCTTCTGAACCATCTGAAAGTGTATTTAAAAATTTGCAGATTTCGTAATCAAAGATCTTTTTTTGAGACCTCCGGCGAAATAAACGCATCGCCGCGTTGGTATCGCCGCAACCGCCATAACTCTCTTCAGCTTGAATCTTACAGATTCTAATTTAGATATTTGGAATCGCCGTCTCCTGAGGTACCTGAATAAGCTTTTAAAAATTGTGAAGCCTTGCTTTCAAGCTTTTTTGGCTCTATGCCAGCGGCGGTCTAAACGCAATGTCGCGCAGAAAGTGCCGACTAGTGTAATGTAACTCGGTTCAAAGTCCTTTAATCAAAATTTCGATTGAGTATTTGAAACCGGCACCTTTTCGTTCACTCATGAGTTCACTTAGACTTTGCTTTTTCTCTTGTCTTGGCTCTGTTTTGAATTATCAACGGCGATACAAACGGCATATCGCGTTGCTTACTTCTCACCATCAAATGTTGCCGGGAACTTGTAATTTGACAGATTTTGTGCAAATTTTCCATTTTTCAAACTGAAGTTAGCGAAGTCAATCTATGGTTTACCGAACAAAGTAGTCAGTATTCGGATGACAGCAAACTGATTGAATCATATCTGCCATCTACAGGTTCCTGAAGTACCCAGTAACTTAGGCAATTTTCCAAAATTCGCGGAACTTGAAAATTTGGAAATTTTTTCAAGTACACTTTCAAATAGTTCAGAAATGATTTCATTCCAAATTGGAATAAATTCTATCAAGGTGTTAAGGTCTTTGTATCCATCTCACTTTCGATTTATGTCATCAAATTGGTAAGATTTTGAAGAAAAATCGATACTGTGGGGTCATCGGGCTCAAGCCGGAGCCAGCCTGGATAATTAGGGCACTATGAGGGACCAAAAAAATCTGGAAAACAGAATTTGGGATTTTGCAGACTACTGAAACATTCTCGAGTAGCTTAGAGCTTACTGGTTCCAAATATCCAATTCAAAATTTGATACGAAAAACGAGAAGAAAACTACACCAATCCGGCTTTTTCAACGCGACATGCCGTTTGTATCGCCGTTGATAATTCAAAAAAGAGCCAAGACAAGAGAAAAAGCAAAGTCTAAGTGAACTCATGAGTGAACGAAAAGGTGCCGGTTTCAAATACTCAATCGAAATTTTGATTAAAGGACTTTGAACCAAGTTACACTAGTCGGCACTTTCTGCGCGACACTGCGTTTAGACCGCCGCTGGCATAGAGCCAAAAAAGCTTGAAAGCAAGACTTCACAATTTTTAAAAGCTTATCCAGGTAGCTTAGGAGACGGCGATTCCAAATATCTAAATTAGAATCTGTAAGATTCAAGCTGAAGAGAGTTATGGCGGTGCGGCGATACCAACGCGGCGATGCGTTTATTTCGCCGGAGGTCTCAAAAAAAGATCTTTGATTACGAGATCTTTTTTTGAGACCTCCGGCGGTGAAAATTTTTAAATACACTTTCAGATGGTTCAGAAGGCGCTGATTCCAAATATTTAAACTCGAATCCGATTGATTAAAGTTCAAGCAAGCTATCGCGATGCGGCACTTTCGGCGCGACATTGCGCTCATATCGTAGGATCTCAAGGCGGCAGTGTTGGTACTGTAGCTTTGCAATGAACGTATTAGATTCTGTAACTAGCCAGTTTCTCAAACAATGGATTGGTTTTCAAAATAGTTTGGACTGTATGTAAGAATGTTGGTCCTTGGCTGTAGCTCCACGTAATAATACTAAGAAAACACAGCGGCCACATTACTTCTGGTGCATATTCAAACATTTATTGTCGTAAAAATGTTCAAATTGTAGCGCTCACCTCTTCTCATTTTGGTCAAACATACTATGGAAGATATTGAATAGGATAATGACAAACAAGTACTGTGAGTGTTCTCAAGAGCAGCTTCTCTTCCTCTTTCCAGCAAATAATTGTTCAAACAATACCCATAATGTCGAACCTGTCCTTTTGCCTTTGTAACTTCAGCTAGTATTTGACTCTTTCATTTCTTTTTTTTGAAGCCAATTACGGCATTTTTTCAGTGCAATTTTAGATCTGTTCCAACTAGCCTTTCTAGGCGCTTCAAAACGATTTTTTGGAAGCCCACAACTTCAAAAAATGCTTAGATTAAAAATGCATCAAACCCTACAACTTTTGACATTCAAAGAGTTCAAAACCCAATTTTTATCGAACCTTGATCCAAGTAATCAAGCGTTGCCGTGTTGAAATATCATGATTTTAGATTTCTGGACACAGTCATGCGCAGAGAGGCGAATTTTTTGAATTACTTCTGCGATTAGATTTGAGTGGAGGTCATGACCAGAGTCGAGCAAGAGGTGTGGCAAACGATTGCTAGATACGACGCTCTCCTCCTAAATGCTGTCTCAATAAGGCCTAAACTAGTGAAAACCCAAGATAGGCATAACACATAGGTCCTACCAAGCAAATGAGTGATATTTATCATTAACATGTCAAATAGCCCCTGTGGACCAAATTTGAGCGAATTCTGAAGCCTGCAAATACTAGGCCACCCAATGAAATGGACATTTTCGAACATGACTAATATTGTTTCAGAAAATTAGCTACACTCTTGCACTCAGTAGAAAGCACTACTCTTTTTTTGTCCACTTCAGAAATCCCTCTTCAAAAAATCGCCGAACTTTGAATTTGAAGCAAGCCAAAATCTCGTTTGTCTCATTTTTGCTTTCAATATCTCGCACCAGAAAGAGCCAACCAGATTCAAATCACTTCCTTGAAGCCTAAGATTACTTGAACTACCGAATATATGTATTCCTCGCGCCTCTTCTCGCGATTCATGCAGTAGAGCGGACTCAGCATGTTACCGTAACTCAATATTTCGTTTTTTCCATTTACATAGGAAAAATTTGCATAGGTAAGGAAAAACGACCATATCTTTCTCTAAAGGGAACAATTTTGAATGTTCTAATGTAAAGAGAAGAAGATTTGCCAACAGCAAAGATATTGAAAACACATATATTTGAGTGCTTTGAAGGTAAGTTAATGGGGTGTGTTACAAATCCTAAAAAGGTGCGGCAGCCACAGCTTTTTAGGGGGTGTGACACACCCCATCACCTTACCTTCATAAACATTTCTAGCGAGTATTCATACGATATATAGCATAAACCTTTTAGATTCCATGGGAGTAAATTGAGCCGGATTCGTCTTCTGTGCTCTGAATAATAGTTGGTGAAACCCAGCCATCAAAGCGAGAAATGGGAGAAACGACATTTTGGCTTGCTTCTGATTCCACAGTGTGTCGATTTTTTGGAGCGTGGTTTCCGAGTTGGGCAAAGAAGGAGTAGAGTTTTTTGTTGAGCGCAAAAAAGAGGTAGCTAGTTCACTTCTGAAACAAAGTCAATCGCGTTCGAAAATGGCCATCCACTTGAGGGGCTCAGTATCTGGAAACTTCAAAATCCGCTCAAACTTGGTTCACAGGGGGTCATTTGACGTGCCGATTGTGGATATATTACTCTTAATGCTTGGTAGAGCTTTTTATTGAGCTAACAAGGGAAGGATACCAACATTAGTCGGCGATTGAAGATGAGATGTAAATCATTAGACAAGTTTTGAACGCTGATTCCAAATCTGCTTTCCTTTTTTGCGGAATAAGTTTTCGAAAGAAGTTGTGGGCGTTCAAATGGAATTTGTCAAGAAGGTGGCCTAAAATTGGCGAAAAGCTGCACAAAAACACCGGAAAGTGGAAAATTATTTTTGTATCGAATATATTGTTTGCAAGGAAGGAACAAAGCCGGTGGAGATCGCATAGGTGTTGTTTTAGAGCTTTTCGCTGATTTTAAGCCACTCAATTCTTGGCAAATATGGACATTCAAACGCTCATAGCTTCTTTCGGAAACTTATTCCACAAAAAAGGAAAGCAGATTTGGAATTAGCGTTCAAAGGCGCATCTAATGATATACATCACATCTTCAATTGCCAACTAACGCTGGTATCCTTCCCTTGTAAGGCAAGTATACGATTACAAGTTAATACCTCATGTCCTTGTATTTCGCATACTGAAATAATTCGCCAAACTGTTACGAATAACATGTATCGCTACTATCGGTACTCGACTACGACACCTTTTGACTTTTCAATACGACCCCCCCCCCCTCCCCCCTCCCGCCCTAGGTGTAGCGTGCCATACCCCACGCTTGACCCTGCTCATGACTGCTGAAAGAGATTAACAACGCGTCGACCGCTCAGAGCATTTGTCTGTCAACATCTCCTCTGATTTAAGGATAGGTATAAAAAAAGGTGTAAGGTTCTCATTAATTTGAGTCACCCCAGTAGAAGTGCCCATGACTTTTTTCACTCCATCAGACCTTCCTAATCACTTTTAATCACAGTGAAATGTAGTTATATAAAAAAATGACCACTCTCTTTGTGGGCGTTTAAGTGATCAAAAATTGGTTAAAAAATCACTTTGTTGTTTAATTGGTGTTGGTTCATGCTTATGATTGATGATGCCTATCGCAGTCTGCCAAATCATGTGCTAAGAAGCAAAAGCCTACCAAGTGCATCATTCATGAGATACCATAGCTTTTAGCTTTTATTGTTGGAAATACCAGGAAGGTATATAATAAATATACAAAAATAAAAGTCTAAAGCTCCCAATGGATATTCCTTGCATGGTGCAGTAAGTGGAGATTAGAGGCTGGCTTACACACATAGGAAGGATACTTGGTGACCGTGGCCTGTCGAGATGAAAAGTAAACATCAAAATCCTGAAGCGCCAATTCCAAATCTGCTTTCGGTATATGCCGTGCGCTCTTCCGAAACCTACATGTGAACATCAGTTGCCTCCAAAATTTGCACTACTTGAGAGAGCATTCACCAATATCGTTAGAATGTTCACTTACTCACTACAAAAGAGTGTTTAAATAAAAGCTTTACGTTAAAATCGGAGAAACTGTCTCCGAGATATCAGTATGAAGAAAAGCCTGAATACTAACGATTTGTCTGCCGAGATCTCGAAGAATTGATATGGAAAAGTCTATGATTTTTTTCAGAGAATCGCACCGTAGAAATGAATTTGAATTTGAAATCAGCGTTTCAAGGCGTATTTACCGGTTTATCTACCATCTCGCCGCAAAAGGCCACAATCACCAAGTGTCCTTTCTTTGTTAGAATAGAGCAGCGAAAAACATTTTCTCAGTGGGAATACCTATGTAGAGGTTCTTATCCTTAGCGTTCTTCCCGACGGGTTCCATTTATGTAGTGAATGTACCGTGAATTTCCAGACAATGTCGCTGATCTGTAACTACGTGAAATGCCCTACCACACAGGCCTGTACGACCACGGTTAAGCCTAAAGGGCACTGTTGCAACATCTGCGGTAGGATGAATTTATCATTCATTCTTGAAAAATTTAAAATTAATTCTTTGAAGGTGGAGTGATGACTTTTGCCACGAACAAATTCACCACCGACACCATTACGAATGCAATCCATGAAGTTGAAAAAGAGAATAATTTGGCTGGCTTTTTGAACTATTCCATAGACCGTATTGATGAAGAAGATGTTGTGCCACATTATCAGGTACTGGTCCACTTCTAGGCTTATATTCAGATTCAATTTCAGTTCAGGTTGCTGTATTTTCTGGAACAAAATACGATGACACCCTCATGAAAGTATTTATCATGGAATTAAATGAAAAACTCAGTAATAGTAGAGGTATGATCCCTTTCAAATTTCTTTGCGAACTGCCACAATCTGTTTTTCTAGGAAATACAATGGACTACTTTAGTGCTAAGTATGACTGGAGCAGACTTGACCATTCGTACGCATTAGGTATGAATTTCTGTAGGTACTTTAATGGTAAATCAACAGTCGTCGTTGTAATTGAAAAATTGTATCATTTAGATCGCTTAGCTATATTGCTTCTTCTTCTTTCAGGTTCAAAGATTGCTGGACTCATCACGTTTATTATCCTTCTAATGGCCGCAGCTGTTCTGCTCTGGAGAAACACGCAAGAGAGAGAAAGGTAACAGTAAAGCAATGCGAAAATAACGAGACATTTTGAAAAGCTTTGTCGTTTGTCAGTACACAACACCTTTTTTCTTAAACGTGGTACCTATAAAAAACTCTAAAGCAGCTGCTCATACGAGCAAGTACAATCGAACAGCACAATACGCTCATAATTTCTGCAAAATATACACGGTGTCAGCTGAATTTGACATTACTTTAGCGCTCGATATTTCGCTTCAGCGTGGACAAAAGCTGAGTTCAGTGGTACCATACGACTCAGCTCGACGATGCGCAGTTTTTGATATGTAGAGGTGCCTTTTTGGTCACGATATGTGCACAGCAGGTAGTCATATTTTGCGAAAGATTGCAATTTTCGCTTACGGTAGATTAGTCAGTGTTCAGTAACTAGGCACTCTAACAAGAGAAAGATATTTGGTCGAAGTGGCCTTTCCATACCAGATGTATACTATATTACACTATATTATAAAGTATTGAATGCTGATTTCAAATCTGCTTTCATTATCTGCAAAGCGCTTCTGGGAGCGGAGTTATGAAAATTTCTTGATGCCAGAAATTGAAAGCGCCGTACAATAAAATTATTCAGAACCTCAGTCGGTGAGCTCAAATGGAGTCACAATTATAACCAAGGCTTTTAATGCAATGAATACTTCCAGTTTAATGAGTTGATATCAGTCATTACTCCGCATAAGCGCCGGAAAGATCTTTACACCTGTTTTCACCTTAGCCAAATCACTAAATTTTTATCTCAAAAAATTCTCAGAACTTTCCTCTCAGAAGCGCTTTTTAGCTAAGAAAAGCCGATTTAGAATCAGCGCTCCATGCCCTATAAGAAGTGTACATTTCATATGGATACGCCACTTCGACCAAGTATCCTTCCCTTCAAGTAATCTACCGTAAACAAAATGGCTTCCCATCCTAACCAAACACGCTCCCTACATCACAAACTGTGCCTCGTCGAGCTGAATCGAACTGTCTAAATGAGTTCAGATTTTGTCCACTTTAAAGCGATTTTGCCAAGTGAAGGTAATGTCACCTAACTCGGGACCGTCGCGCTTTTTTTGAAGAAATTATGACCTGATTGTATCTGCAATTTTGGTCTATGTGATTCAAGGAACTGGGAAGTACAAGGTTCCAGTTTTTTAACGAGCTTCAAGTATATTCTGAAGTGCGAAGAAAAACTTCAGAAAAGAAACTTGCTTACAGTCAAGAAGCATAGTTGTGACAGAAAGGCTCATGAGGCCTACGGCAGAGTTCACGCGATTTCATCGTCGCGATTCATCGCGACAAGACGAGTGTTAGCCTAAGGCATACCTCACGCGATTTAGACGCCGCGCGATTTGGCACTGCAACGACTCTCCATAGCTGGTCGTAAACGTTCTTTGCTTGGGCCAGACTTGCTGCGTTTGTCACAATCTACGGAATCTACGCGCCCATGCATCTGAGAGCCTCGCATGCAAAATCTCTAGACATCTGGCAAATCGCCAAGTCGCGAGAATGTGGCGATTTCGCGAAATCGCGAGAGGTATGCCTTAGGCCTTACGAGTTCATTCCATGCCGATCTTCTTGTATTTCGGTTGTGATAGTTAGTCACAATCAGTTGTGTTGGAAAACTATCACAACTGAAATGCAAGAAGATCGGCGGTATTGTTACAGTTGTCTTGTCGGATAAATCGCGACGATGAAATAGCGTTGATTGCTACCCGAGAATTTATTCAGCAGAAATGGAATCTTGTGTAGCAGAAAATGATTCGAATGTCGACTACAGAACGTGTTTCACGTGACCTTCTGCTGCAATATGCGATTAAAAGGTCTTCCATTACCTTACTTGGTTCACGAAAGCAACAGTGCTGTGGAACCGATACACTGTGCTCACCATAATGTTTCTGCAGTTGATGCGGTAGTTCGATTATCACTGCAACCTTTTGAGTATCTAGGTAATGAGATTGACATTGATAAATCTGGTTCTGACATTGTCTAAATTCAAAAACACGACGAAAGTGTGAGTAATCGGCATTGTCTATCGGTATATTAGAATGTCTCATTTGTGATTTAGGCCTACATACTTCTTTTTCCCAATTGCCGTTCTTCGAAAAGAGTTACTACTCTCTTTTAGCCACTGTAACAAATGGATTCGTAAATTTCTGCGTTCCGAATAAGAACGCTTGGAACACTATACTTCGGCCAAAACTTATACTGTGATAGCATCCAACAAGTGCGCTTTATCACTTTACTGTTTAAGGCTTCGCGCACTGCTCGTCATCAATGGTTCATCACCGCTTCGTGCTGTTTGGCATCACGGCAAAGAGGAGGCTGATGATGTAGTACAATTACTGAGTGTGGAGGAACTGAACAGCGAGGAGGTTAATCCTTGGTATTTCTTTCCTGGGTGCATTCGATTAGGACCAAGATAACTAGCAAACAAGGCGTGGGTCATATGGGAACTCTTTTTCTAATCAATATGAGTTGTATGAAGCAATAAAGTAAAAAGTGAACGTTGTCTGTTTTTTTCTTGTAAGTATATGTGTAAGAATAAGTAAAAGAATAAAAAATCCATGCGTTATTTTCAGGACGAGGAATACGCACCTTCACTCCCAGCACTAACACCGACTCCTGCAGTACTAGAGCCACAAACAAGTTCTTCGATGGGCAAGAATATTTCTGAAGGAGTTCCTGGTATCGAGCTCAACCTCTTCGACTAAACTTGTGTCGGACTTTTGTTATCACCGGTCATTGCATAGCATAAACATTACTTGGTCTGTAGTCATTACACATCCAGCCATGTTGCAATAAACTATATTGTCTATGGTGTAACTGATCGGAAAGTGATTGTTAGGCTTTGGCCATACTTTACCCGTGTTACTCGTGTTACCGGTGTTGGTGTTAGTCGTGCTACTCGTGTTGCTGATGTTACCACTTTTACTGCTGCTGAGTAGTGAAATAATCAAATACAGTCTCATTCTGAAAGGCAATCTCATTGACGGTGAGTAACACGAACAACACCGGTAACACGAGTAAAGTATGGCTGAAGCCTAACTCATGTAATTGCAGTAGACCCAGATAGTCAGTCGAGCATTTAAAAAAAACAGAGATAGGCATTTGATAGAATAGGAAGGAAGACGATGGTATGGTAAACCTATTTGCCCTTCTGTATTATATTATGTTTGCTAAAAATATATGAAAAGGACATGGTCAGTGCTATCTAGCAAATCGACAGAAATCGCTGTTTGTAGATCGTATAAGCCCAGGTCTGCAACAAGTTGCAAAAGAGTAAAGGTGATGCTCTGTCCATCGGGTTTCGAGACTACTTCTTGCTCAGTTCCGCAGTTCTTGCTCCTTTGACTCAATTGTGTTCGCAGCCATCTCCTACAAAGACAAAATATCTTACCACTTAAGAGGTGATTTAGTGTCGAATGATTCATCAGCAAATATTTTCACATTGAGAGACTGTGTTCAATGTTTTTAGATCTTGCTCATATAGAGAATTCCCAAGAACTTCGCTTCAATATACTGCAGCTGAGCTGAGCTTGCGGGCTTCAAAAACCATATCATAGAACCAAAAGTCTATAGTCAAAGCTGAAATAATCCAGCATCTTGACAAATCACAGTGTAAGATTCTTTCTTCTATACAGCGGTCGCGAAGCCTTGGAATAAAGAAAGGTTGCCAAAGGTTTGCGCTCAAAATATTCTATCAAATGTTCAACGAAAAGGAGTGTTAGTTTACACTTTTCACATTCTTTATGCTATGAACAAAATTGCGCTTTGATGTGTTTTGACGTGGACATGACTGGGAAGATTAAATGACTTCTAAACTTTTTGTGACCACAATCACCTGATAGGACAATCTGTGTTTCACTAACTTAAGTCTTGATATTGTATAAAGAGTAACCTTAAGTTATTCGCTCATTTTGGAAAAAAGCCATAAAGTAAAGTGGACTGCTGCAAAGGTTTTGGATAGAATCCCTCTGTTTTCATTGAGGAAACACTTTTTCCGTGTTCATAAAACGTCGTGAGGCATCAAAGTATCTAGGTATCTATTTCAAAACAAATACACAGACAGGTCGCAGCAAAACTACTTCAGCTTGCTGCAGGTATACTTAGAGGTCGGTGAAATGTTTTCCTGTTACTTCCTTGCGTTCGGCTTTCATGATTTGCCTGGATTTCGGCTGGCGATTGGGCGAAGGGGCGAGCGGCCGTGCAATCCATCAAACATTTGTGTGCACCTTAACATTGCAGGGGCGTGCGCCGGAATTTCTGACCAATCACACGCAGACCGTGCGCACAAACACAGCCGGCACGTTATCAGCTGATTTATGCGAATTCTTTGAGGTCAGAAGAGCTGACAAACATATAGCTAAACAATCCCTTCAGACCATGCAACTGACCTTCGAACCATTGCAGAACAAAAGACTTTCCTGCTGAGTTTGTTGGATTTTCTTTTTTGGAAAAATGGATAGGAAGGACGGTTTGAATTTGGCCAAAAAAGTTGCAATTGTCTTTGGTGCCCCCTTGAATTGCTAAAGAATCACCGTAGCGGAAAAAAACATTTGGGAAGTCAAAAGCTTTTGGAAGGCTAGCCATATAAGGAGATTCTTGTCTTCTATTATTGATAGAATTTTTGCTTGATATTTGATATTTGATGATAGTTGGGGTGTAAAACTCCCCCCCCCCCCTCCCACTTACAAATAACCTTTGCCAAAAACAGCTATTTAAACACTATAGAGTTGCGTACTTACATATTAAAACGGAACTACCAACTTAAAGTGCCTACCCCAGCCAAAATGACAAAATAGATCGTTTTAGTCTTTTAAGGATCTTAGAGCAGCTTGAGAACCACTGAAATTGCTTAAGCATACTTTTAGAAGAATGAAGGACATGACTGTCTTATGATCTCACAGCAACGATGGACAAAAGGGATATTATCACTAAAAAGTTCCACTGCTACCTAACTGATGCTTGTCAAGGGATAAATTTCTTTTAAACGTCGTTACAATTGTCATAATTTCTTCCATTTCCCAGTTCACAGAATATATAAGTTGTTTTCCAGATCTATCAGACTACTTGTGGAGTAACTCTGAACCAATGTTCTAGAAGCTGTTTTCTGAAACTGAAAAGATTTTCAATGAGTTTGCAATTATTTTTCTAACGTGACCAGCTTTCTGCTAGTTAGAAATACATTCAGAGATTTCCTTCTCAGTTTAGATATTTGAAGCTTTGTACTTCGGTCAAAGACTCGCAGCTTCTCATGTTTTTGAATGAGCTTTTTTTCAAATGAAAAACGTTAGAGAGGAATGGAGTAAAAAATGCCACCCATTGACTGCTTCCATGGCAGAGCTCTTGATCCTCTTCAGTCATCGAGAATTGTAAAGTAAAGCTGATGTTGGAGAGCTAGATTAGTTACGAAAAATAATACCGATCTGAGGCTTTGAGCCCAGCTTTATCGGAATATTTATCATTTTATCATCTCCTATAAAACTGTTGATATACAAAAAATAAAATTATATACTAGAATAGTCTGCCGATAATATCATTGCTATAGGTCGCATCCCTTTTTCTATCGTCATAGGACTAGATTTCACCACCTCTATTATCATAATGCAATCCGACACGCAAAAAATCCGCAAATCGTACAAGTAATGCCCTCGTGTGTTTTCGAAAGGATATTCTTAGCAGGCAACAGGTTCTCAAATAATCACGTCAGCTGTCATCTGGCGACCTCGGAGTTGTCGCAAACCGCTGTCCATCCTCAGCAGCAGCCGACGAAATATCCGAACGGTGACAACAGCAGTCACGTGTGTCGATGGACATCTCGAAAACAGTCCTGCCATGACGAATTTCACAAATTTTTCGGTTCGAGGAAAAAAGACAAAAAATCTCTCCAATAAAAATAGACTGGAAGCTTCTCGTAAACGTCAGATCAACTCCAAAAGTAGTTTGTTTGCTCAGTTAAAAAAATCTTCTTGAGGTTGAGGCCCTGCGAAGATTATTATCAACTTCTCTCTTATTAAAATCACTTTACTGCGAAACGGGGAGGTCTGTCTAATGTGTGCAATTGCGCGTAATTGTACAATGCCGTAAAAAACACAATCCCTTTGAACGCGGGACTCAGCCCAATAAACTTTTTTTTGTTTTCCTTTGCTGTACTTTTTTCTGTTCAGACACATCAGAGGTCACATCAATTTTCTTGGGCGCAGATCTGGAATATCACTAAGTAGATCCCAGTTCTATGCGTGCATGTTGTCCAATCGCACATAAGTGATTATACCACGATCTTGCATGATCTATACAGTTCTTTTTTGTTCAAGGAACACTCAAGCACATTGCGTACGATTTACTCGTTCTCCATTGTGCAAAAAATTGTAAAGATATAGAGCCCGTAGCTCCTGGCTCTTTCTCGTCAAATCCTCAGCCCTCTTGTCAGTTTAGCAGATGCCAGCAGAGAGAGTACGGACTTCGAAAACAATGATTTCACGGACATCGCAACTGTCTCGTCCGCAAAGTTTTGTCCGAATCAAAGTTCTTAAAAAATAGCTGGCTCTCGGAGTCAACCAATTTTTTTGTTGATGTCATAAAGGTGGAAGAGAGGATTCTGAAAAATTTCCTCGTTGGAAAAACTTGAAGCACCTAAGATCAAACTCCTCTAAGCTTTGTGAATGCAACTCAATTTTCCATCATAACGGATATGGGTACGTGAGATTTTGTGTTACACTCTGACAGGTGGAAGAGACACATCAGCAGAATTACTGCATCGTCCAACTCTTGTGAACATCGCTCTTTTTCGACATCACTTGACGCACACATGCAAATTCATGCCACCCGCTTTACAACGTTTGTTTTCGAAAACAAAAGGTTTTGTCGAAAATTGAAGGTGAAGTATTGAAACACGCTCTTTGAGGGTGAAAGAGTTGAAAAAGAATGTCGACAATAGAAAAAACCAAATTCGTTTGGTGTATTTTTTTAGAGCAACATTACATCCAGCAAATTCAGCGCTTGTAGTGCCCTGCGGAGAAGACAACATTTGCGCGAAAACAAATGCCCATGTCGACTTGCTTGAGACTTGCGCTTGAAAATGGCCATAGAGCGCACACTGCGATTGTTCACGCGAAAAAGCTGTCGGCAACGCAGGAACTCTATACTAAACATCAAATTGCTGTCCATTTCCTAATATCTCGTGTGTATTGCAAAATAGGCTCGGCAATTCACGATTTGTTTGCTTGCGAGTTGAACAATGTAAAGAATTGTTTTTGTTTTTGATTTCTCGCCCAAAGACTTAAGCCGAAATAATCGTACCTTTTGATTCAACGGGATTAGCGGCTGGAAGGCGAGGCTTTGAGGCCTAATCAAGGCTAGAGAATCACCAGAGAGCACGCTTGCAACAGAGTCGCAGACTGCGTTGCGGGCGCGAGCGGTCTCTTCCAGCCGCCAATCCCTTTGATCAAAGAAACTTTGTTCCATAAACGGTTCTTGCCAGACGATCACAAAAGTCGTGAATTACCGTGCGCGGTGTGAAATTGCACATAACAAGTTACAAATTGACCCCTACAAATTGGGAAAATCTCGAAGGGAATTGCTATATAGTTGATAAATTGAGATAAGCTGTAACTGATATTTCTGCAGTAGAAAGTCCACGGCGAACTTTTCGTGCAACATCTGACACCTTGCACTGAATATTTTGTATCCAGTTAAGTACAAACAAACACATGAGATTATTTCTGTCACATCTGTGAAGTAAAACTATCTATCAACAACTAGCAAGATGTATGAGAGACTTATCGTTCAAAAGTGAATGTGATGGTTTGCGAATTATAATTTAAAAACTTACTTAGTTCAGAATTATGAAGTCAAATGCGTCCTAGATTGTGTTTTGATGAAGAACCGAAAAAAAATCTTGCAAAAATGTTGGGCTACCGGAAGCAAAGTTTTCCATATATTTTCATTCATTTTCAAGCTCTCTTCCGCTTTCCAATTTCAAACGGACCAATCAGCGCCTTTGAGAACGTTAGAGCGAGAGTTGAAGTTGCATTATTTTGAAAGCTGTCGTCTTGAAAAATCTCCAAAATCATTCTAATTATCTAGAGGCAAAAACAACCCACCTGCACAATTTGGAAATCATGTACCCATTCCAAGGGGGAGGTGCCTTCTCTCGCTCCTCCCTCAGTTATTCGTATGCACATAAGTCACCCACATACCCAGAATTGCCCCAACACTCCCACAAAGAATGGATTGAAATTTATGACACTGACTTCTTTGAGAGGACCTTAGAATTTTCGTTTTCTGTGTAGACGCCTGTAAACTTTTTTGAAATCAGATAAAAGAACTTTTGACACAGTTATAGATTAGTTAAGATTTAGATAACTTCCGACTTGTCGATGGATGCATTACACAATCTCTTGATTAATTGCCCTTTGCCCCCATTTCTTTCGTCCTAGGGTGCATAAAAAAGCAACAGAAGCTCTCGTCAGACAGGGTGGACGTTACAGTGAATCAAGAACCAAAACAATCACAAAGTAACAAGGAAGCTAGAAGCTAGGTTAAGTATGAGTCTGAGGGGTTAGGACAGATACAACAACAATGTACGCAAACGCAAAGAAAGTATAGTTGGATAATGGGACTGTGCTTTTTGAAATTATCAAAGGTAGCAAGAGGTTTCCTTTGTTTCAGTGCACTTCCAAGTTCAATGTACGCCTTTACAATGATTCCGAATGCCATTGCTTCATTCCGATTGCGAAAAGTCTTGGAATGTGCTGGGCAACTGTTGCCGTGAACTAATGCTGACAGAGCTGAGCGATACATTAAGTGGATCGAGTTATGGACCGGCTTGATGGAAGAGCTTAGCCATGTTGAAAAGTTAGCCATTTGCTGGAAAATTTTGAAGATTGTCATGGCGCCCTTGCGGTGTTAACAAAATTTGGGCAAAAGAAGATACCGTAACATAGCAATGTCGTCGATTTGCTTGTGACATGCGAGTGAAAAATGGCCAAAGAGCGGTTTACGCACAAATGTTGCCAGAATCGCAAGAACAAAGACTCATACCAAGCTATTGAGCACTAATGTTGACGTTATTGACGTTACCGTAATCCAGGTAAGCAAAGAGATATTAAGATCTACTATATACGATTTGATTCACTTTCATTCTTTTTCCTTATGCACTTGGACTGCTTTCTGTGCCACCGTTGTCGTAGAGCGAGATCTTGATTTGATGCTGCCGCCTTCTCAGAACGCAAACGTTACAGCCGATGCACGTGTTGGCTAGAGAAGATCGAGCTCATAACTAGATCATCTTCTTTCGAATCATTTCTCTTCCAAGTGCTAAACACCCCGTTCAACGGCGCTTTCAACCTCTAGACCACCAAGGTGATAACCAGACCGGTACATGTACCTAGCAGCCAAGTCTACGCGCGACAATTCTATGTAAACATCAGAATTTTTCGTAAATATCAGCCGACCCAGTGCTGAAATCTGGCAGCACATCTGTCGAGTAGCTCAACTCGATGGCTAAAAATCATAGCACGGCATGTCGCCGAGGCTGAGCTGAGGCTGAGGTAGACACGACGGCGAAGTTCGTGAGTACTGACGGATTGACGTGTGTTGTGAAGAGTTGTTTCTCCGCGGCTGCGAACACACGATGACCGCCGGATGCGGGTACTGTGAAAATAACAACAATTCATCGATTGACGCTTTTCAAGCATTAAGAATTTGAGCCTGGATTGTACAACGCATTTTCCATTGATAAAGGCATCTAAATTTATCATATTACACAACGGGTAGTTCCTGAACAAAAGATCAGGCAGGAGAGAATACATCATATATGGGGTAGAAACTTAGGTACACTCTCGCACACGTACAACGGAGCTCAAACTTGCTTTTCAGTCAATTCAATGCGGCAAATCGTTCAGGATGAGTAGGCTGCAAGCAACTTGTTCACAAGTCCGCAAAGCGTCCTCGCATTCCTCCACTTGGTCTCAGAGTGAATGATATAGAGGAGACAGTATCTTAGTTTGGGATGTTGTAAAACGCTGCGCGCTTCATGGCTCTATTTCTGGTAAACAGTGAGCATAGTATTCATGAAACATGCAGTTGGAGAACTTTACACTTGCCTGCAGGCTCAAAAAGGGGTGCAAAAATCGAAAAAAAAAACCGTGAAAAGTGGCAGTTCCTGGCAAACATACACACGCTTGAGATACCGCGGGTATTAGGTTCTTCCAAAAGTAAACTACTGTTATTAAATAAGTCAGGCTATTTTTGTTTTCCGGATAGACTTGACTACCAAAGATCTACCTAATTCGTAATCCAGGTAAATTTTGGAGTCAAGATTGAAAAAAATATTATAAAAAAAAACATTATAACCTGGATGGATGTTTGCGAAAAGAAAGACCCTCGGAACTCCTACTTGGTCGTTATACATCAGACAAGCAGTACTGAAAAATGCTTTCATTGGATGTTTTTCATGTATTCTGGCGAGAATAGAAGATAGTCCAAAGTGGCAAACTCCATCCTCAAACCTGACAAAGAGTGACATTTTTGCATTTTCCGGCTATTTTATTTCTTGATTTTGAGACCCGAAAAAATCCAATAAATATATTTTTGGATACTGCCATGTGTATACTGTACAAGGACCAAATTGAAGGGCCGTAGAAAGTTCCTGGAAGGAGATCCGATTCTAAGAAAAGTCAAACAAAATGGGCATTTACAAATTTCTATTTTTGCCTTCAAATTTATCCGGCCTACGGCTTTGGCGGAACTTTCGGAACATTTTGTAGAGCTTACTTCGCCCTATTGAATAGTACCTTAACTCTGCCAGGAAAACAAGCAGCTTGATTTATTTAGAAAAGGAGTTCATCTTTGGGACAACCTAATATGTCCGGCTATGAATGACTCATTATAGATACACTCGTTTTTGCCGAACCAGTCTCCTCTAATAGGGCTATTTTCTTGATTTTAGGATAAAGGATGGTATTATCAAAAAAAAAGCTCTTTTCACTACATATATGGACTGCTGTGGTACTCTGTCCTTTCTGAAGTTTCTTTGGAAATGATGTCCTCTTAACGTTACCTTTACCCCACTAACGATTTCACGAGTGGTGCGATTACACATGTGACCGGCAAATGAGTTCGTATCTAACATTTCCAAGAAATGAGTGATGCGCTTGATAATATGCATCCTTGGGTTATTTGTAAAAAAAAGAAGAAACTGTGCAATATTTGACCTAGCTAATAACTGCACTAGATTTATTGGCAGCATCTATTCAAATGTGTAAACTACTGTGAACTGTGAACCTATTTGATCAGTAAGCGACCTAAAATAGGTACCACCGCGTGACAGAGCGTGACCATTTCTACTAACCATTACTAATAACATATTATGCAGCATATTATGCACCGGTGTTGAGCATTTAGAGGATGTACTAAAAGCACGAAAAAAGAGCATAACTCGAATGCGCGGAGATGTTGTTAGAATAGTATGAGAAATCAGCTTGACCTCACGCTAGGCGAGCGATTGTAATTCTCGAGTCGTTCTAGCGCGGAATCACCTCGACTCCCCGAGTGGAAAGATTGACCAGTACTCTAAACAATTTGAGTCTTAGTTTACATGAGCAAATAGGTTTTGAAATCAGTAACTTACTATAAAAGTGAACTTTCTGCCCTAAAGAAAGCCGAAGATCAAATCGTGTACATGATGTACGCGGGTGAAACTGCCGCCGAACTTTAGTTAAAAACACCGCTTCGGAGATTCAAAAGTACTGTAGCAATACACTCTACAGTAATAGCGGTGCAAATTTATGGAATTCTTGTTTGGTGACTTAACCTTCCACAAACATCCTGAAGTGGAAAGGATGAAAGATTTTGAGCTTTCTTTATATTAAGGCAAAACTTATTCAAAAAAATCTGTCCATGAAGACAAACTGTTTGTCTACAGCTTTCTTAATTGATTTATAGGATAGTCAACCGAATTTCATTATTACAATGTTGGATTACGTCAAACAATCAATCTAGTTTGCTCAAAAACATAGGTCAAACCTAAACAGGACTCAGACCTTCAAAGAAATTTACTGCCATTGTAGAAACTTTCGAAGACTTTTTTCAAGCGGAAGATCATCTGAGATCTAAGAATAAGGAGTATTCCAGGAACTCAAGGAGGTATGGGCTCATTTCTTGGGGTTTTTCATTCATGAAAATGCACTCTGCCACCAGAGAGAGTGTATTACAGATTGAGAAGGGGCGATGAGCAGAGCACAGCAGCACCCACGGATGCGGCCGGCCAACAGCCCCGCCTCTGTGGATCGCCCACATCTCACAGCCTCCGGCTAGCCAAGCGGTTAAAACTACTCGACCGGCCAGTCATTTACCTTTACTCAACTCGAGGGAGCGGTCAAAGTTTCCTGGTTACCTTCTGGTGTACTGTAGCCTTTGCTACCGTATTCTGTATTCATCTCGTGAAGTTCACGCCTTATGCGACCTAAGGATACTTCCGTCATAGTTATTCGCCAATGTGTATCTTCATTCACTTACCTATGATTCTTATGGCAATACCGTTCCACTACCGTAACCGCGATACTCATACCAAAGCATCTACACTTTGTTATAGCACCAGTATCACTTATTACTGTTTACAGCCATGGCAAACACCGACTTCGAGAAGGACCCGGGTTTTCAGTACCTTGGCCTGACCAGAGAGGCCAAGGCCGCATCTGCTGCTAAGCCATTCGACTCCAAGAAAAACGTCTGGGTCCCGGATCCGGAGGAAGGTGCTGTACTTTATAATAATACGGATGCTTATCTTTTCTTCATTTCGAACAGTATCCAAAAAATTAGTTACCTTTAACAACAGTTTTGGCATTACGCAGAAGAAACATAATTTGAAGTTTTTGGGGTGAACCATATCTGCCTATTTTTGTGCTACTCCTAGACCCATACATATCTCATCAAAGCAGAATTGGAATAGCATTTGCTTGCTTATTCAAGCAGTTCTTGATAACTTCCGTATGACTATCATCTGTTCCTTTAAAGAAACCCAGCATCTTGTACTTCGCAAACACATTTGTTTCCAATACTTTTCAACCCTTCTCTTTCGTTATGTGATTAGACAGCGGGGACAAAAAAACATATCAAAAACCAAGCACATTTGCACACATAAGAATGAAATGGACACAGTTGCTTCCCAGCTTCCTGCAATCCTTCACCTGGTGTTGCTCGCCCACGTAGGTGATTGATGAAAGCTAGTCCGTATCCTGATGCCAACAGTTGTTCGGTCAAGATTTTTTTTTGCTGAGAAAACAAATTATGTTGTCTAGGAGAATTTCGAAAAAGCCATCGAACAGATTTCACAAGTCCCTTTCGGCGCATTTCGAAACAATTAGCGTTTTGACCTTTCCCGTAGCAATGGGTATCCGTTAATACAATGCGTTTTCCCCGCACACGACCCCTCGAATGAGTTTAAACGAATGCCGAACGTTGCCGCTCGGCCGACGAGCCATATGGTGATAAGAAAATTGAACGGAGAGCGAGCCTGGACAGCAATAAGTGTGAGGTACAATGCGGGGGACCAGAGATACGTGTAGAAATTTTTAGAAAACATAAAGTAGTAATTAAGTTCGCGTTTTGAGGGGAGTTTGAGACGTAAAGAATGTGTAGTACTCAGTTTGTAACTTACGTGTGTTAAAAGCAGTTTGCGATGGTAACAATAGCGTTTGGGGATTACGGTAACGCCTTATTGGGTGGTCAGATCTACCGCCCGAATTTGTTCATTGATTTACGGTAGTGCATTTTTGGTGACCAAATCTACAGAGGGTTACGGTATCGCAATTTGTGCATTTAGGGCTCATGGCAATGCAATTTTTGGTGGCTAAAAATATTGTATATCTAGACTCATTCCAACGAATGAAATTGCTTTCGCATTCCAAAGTCGTACAAAAGAGATGGTAGAAGTCTGCAAAAGGCAATTAGAGCCTTCAACATCTAATGCCAAGAAAATTTCATCTGGTCTCCACTACTCCACCATGCCTCTTCAACCTTTTTGCGTCCTTCCCTCGCAGGCCTAACATTAACGCTCTTGTCCATGATGGTACGAGCTTTTCGCAATTTTCTAAGAATAGTAGCCACACCAACAGCGCTTCGCGTTCTCTCGCACTCTGGCTCGTTTATAAAAACCGCGTTGTACACCAGCATCTCCCGGCGTAGGCGGTCGAGGTCGGTTGGCATTGTAATCACACGGCACCAACACCGGCCAAAGAGTCATTGTTGCATGGCATCAGAACAAGTGATTAGATCCATCGATTAGGGGGGAGGATGAAGGAAACTAATGAAGTCAAGCAAAGAGAATTAGTCAAAAAAGAACTAATGTCTTACAGGATTCATCGCAGCCGAGATCCAGTCTGTACAGGGAGATCAAGTGACAGTCGTTACCGCCAAGGGAAACACGGTAAGAATCGAAGTCATCGAAGAAAGGCTGCTGGAAAATATTGAAAATTTAGTGCCCAATCTCAGTTGCTTTTTCTAAACTTCATAAAGAACACAGAAATACCAAAAATATATTAGTTTCTTTGTTCTAGATTATATATCAATGCCCAAAAAAAGATATCGTCTTAAATTCATAGTATAGAACAATTAGAGTTATATTGTAGGATTAGGTAGTCAGCACAATTCATCATGAATAAGGGGGCATAAACAAAAAGTGTAACCTCTTGCGAAAATTTCAGACACTCTAAGCTCAAAATCGAATGTACATAAAAGGCCAATCAAATAGTTCGATTGAGGTTCACAGAGAAACTGAATACTACGGCATAGAATTTTGAACAAGACTGTTCGTCGTAAAATTCACATCTATATTCAATTAGCTTAACACTTAGAGATTTCAGCTCTCGCGGAGCATTTCTCATGGGAGTTCTCACTTTTAAAAGACGATTTACGGTAATCTTACAGTTATGGAAAAAATCGGGGATCCATTTCATGGTTTCTTCTTTTTTACATTGATAGGTTCGGCTCGTGACAGGCAAAAGTCAAGAAAGTTTTCGGCTCTGATAGGCAAAAGTCAAGAAAGTTTTCGGCTCTGATAGGCAGAAGTCAAGAAAGTTTTCGGCTCTGATAGGCAGAAGTCAAGAAAGTTTTCGGCTCTGATAGGCAGAAGTCAAGAAAATTGTCTAAGAGTAGTACACTCTATTAATGGGAATTTCACAACTTTTTGGAAATTCTTAGAGTGGTTAGGGGCCTTGTAAGCACTTCTAATCCACGCAAGAAAAGATGAAACTCTGATACACAAAGTAAAACTATATTAGTATGTTTTGTAGGATTATTTTGGAGAAGCAGCAAAGAGGAGAATAGATTGGAAATAGCACATCGCTACAGATGTTGATCTTCAATTTTTAAGGTAACAGTGAAGAAGGATCAAGCTCAAGAAATGAACCCTCCAAAATTCGACAAAACCGAAGACATGGCTAACCTAACCTTCTTGAACGAGGCTTCTGTCTTGGCTAATCTGAAGGACAGATACAAGGAAATGATGATTTACGTAAGCGCAGGAGTACGGCTTTAACGCAGATTACTAAACAATTACCTCTTTAGACATATTCCGGTCTGTTCTGTGTCGTCATCAACCCATACAAGCGTTTGCCCATCTATACCGAGTCCGTTATTAAATTCTATATGGGAAAGAGAAGAAATGAGATGCCACCGCATCTTTTCGCTACTTCTGATGAAGCCTACAGAAACATGGTTCAAGGTAAGGCAAACAGCGCGATCTCCCGCAGACCAAACTTATGGGAATATTTCAGATCGCGAAAACCAATCTATGTTGATTACTGGAGAGTCTGGAGCAGGAAAGACCGAGAACACAAAGAAAGTAATCTCCTATTTCGCCATCGTCGGTGCTACCCAAGCTGCCAAGCAGGAAGGAACGAAAGGAGTAAGTTCTTAGATTGATTCACCCCTGATTTCATGTCCCACAACATATCATTCTGTTTTAGGGTAAAGGAGTAAGTATTCATCCTATACTTACATATCCCCAACACATGTGATCTATACTTTGGACCGAATCGAATACTTATTCGAGCCATTCGAATAAAACAGTCGAATGGGACTGATTCGAAAATATTCGATTCGAAACTCGAATATCCAAAATTTTCGATTATTGAAAATTATTCGAAAGTCAAAATTCAAAATTTTTGATTTTCGAATATCAGTTCAAAATTAATGAAAAAACATTCTAAATTTTCTGAGTAAATTGTGTTTTCCTTAAGGGTACCCTAGAAGAACAGATCGTACAAACCAATCCTGTATTGGAGGCTTTCGGTAGGTCTTTCACTTCACATAGCCTTTGGAATTACTATAAATGTCCTTTAGGTAATGCCAAAACCGTACGAAACAACAACTCCTCTCGATTCGGAAAATTCATCCGAACACATTTCTCTGCACAAGGAAAACTGGCCGGAGGAGATATTGAACATTGTAGGCTACGAAATTTCCATTCATTTCCGCAAAAATCACATGCAGTATGTTATAGATTTGCTTGAGAAGTCTCGTGTCGTGCGACAGGCTCCCGGTGAACGCAGTTACCACATTTTCTACCAAATTATGTCCGGATTTGACCCTAAGCTTCGCGGTAGGTTGTCAGACCAGAAGACAAAGGCTTGAAATCATTTCGGATAATTTAGATTCGCTAAAGCTTAACCACGAACTAAAATACTACCATTTCTGCTCGCAAGCAGAGCTGACCATCGACGGTGTTGATGACAAGGAAGAAATGGGTTTGACTCAGGTAGGAAAGAGCCCTTGAAAATTCACAAATTCTTTTCTGCCGGGACCTATAAAAAAGAGTATAGGAAGCCTTTGACATTATGGGTTTCGAAGATGAGGAAGTGATGGATCTGTACAAGAGTTGTGCCGCCATCATGCATATGGGAGAGATGAAATTCAAACAGAGACCACGTGAAGAGCAAGCCGAACCCGATGGCGATGAAGGTCTATTGCTTTTACCCGATTAAGAACTATAACTACCTTGTCCTGAGAAGTCTGCAGTTGCAGACGCGCAGAATGTCGCCCACTGCCTGGGGATTAACCCCGAAGAATTGTTGAAAGCTCTCACCAAGCCACGTGTACGCGTCGGTACTGAATGGGTCAACAAAGGACAGAACTTGGAACAGGTAATTAATTTTTCAGATTTTAGATAACACTGTAACTCACAAATTTTCCAGGTAAACTGGGCCGTCGCTGGTTTGGGTAAGGCTATCTACGCTCGTATGTTCAAATGGCTTATCGGAAGGTAGTTAATCGCAGATGAAAGAATCTATATCAGTTCATAAATGCAAACTTCAGATGTAACAAGACCCTTGACGCCAAGCAGATCGAGCGTCGCTACTTCATTGGTGTGCTTGATATCGCCGGATTCGAGATTTTCGACGTGAGGCCCTCTTGCTGAAGAAAGTGCATCCATCTAAAAAAAACGATTGCAGTTCAACTCCTTTGAGCAGTTGTGGATTAACTTCGTAAACGAGAGACTGCAACAATTCTTCAACCATCACATGTTCGTTCTGGAACAGGAGGAGTACAAGCGTGAAGGCATCCAATGGACATTCATTGACTTCGGTCTTGACTTGCAAGCCTGTATTGAACTGATTGAGAAGGTGACCAAAATATTTTTTCCGCTGTCAAGCTCCAAAAATCACGGAAATTTTTAGCCCTTGGGTTTGATCTCAATGCTTGATGAGGAGTGTATCGTACCCAAGGCTACTGATATGACCTATGTACAAAAGCTAAACGACCAGCATCTTGGCAAACATCCTAACTTCCAGAAGCCAAAACCACCAAAGGGCAAGCAGGTAACAGGACACCTAGATACCTAGGCTGATAATCAGAAGTTAAGCAGAACAATTCATACGTAATTTCAGTCCGAAGCTCACTTTGCAGTCGTTCACTACGCCGGAACAGTGCGTTACAATGCCACCAACTTCCTTGAGAAGAATAAGGTTTGTCTCATAGCCATCCACCAAGGCTACCATGAAAAAATATTTTTTCTTAGGATCCCCTAAACGATACTGCTGTCGCTCTGTTGAAGACCCACTCAACCGGATGCAAACTGATGCTCGAAATCTGGGCCGACTACCAGACCCAGGAAGAAGCAGCCGAAGCTGCCAAGGCCGGTACCGGCGGTGGCAAGAAGAAGGTAGAAATAGATTTGGGAGAAAACATGGGAATATTCAAAATGGCTAGAGTTTTAGGGAAAGTCTGCCTCGTTCATGACTGTGTCCATGATTTACCGTGAATCATTGAACAACCTGATGAACATGCTGTACCAGACTCACCCCCACTTCATCCGTTGCATTATCCCCAACGAGAAAAAGACTTCTGGTACGATACCGTACTCATCTTAATGTAGCAGATACGACACTAATCAACCCACGTTTAGGTCTGATTGACTCGGCTTTGGTATTGAATCAATTGACTTGCAATGGTGTACTGGAAGGTATCAGAATTTGCCGTAAAGGTTTCCCCAACAGAATGCTCTACGATGACTTCAAACACCGGTATGTCTTCTAACCTAACCCCATGTTTTTTACCCTACTTAGCCCATGTTTAGATATGCTGTGCTTGCTGCTCAAGAAGCCAAATCCTCCGATGATGTTAAGGCCGCTTCTATCGCTGTCACCGACAAATTGGTTACTGAGGGACATTTGAAAGATGAGGAATTTAAAATTGGTAACACTAAGGTAAGTCTGGGGTTCTGTAACTCCTGTCACCTTGGCACTGAAAAAAAAGTAATTCAGGTGTTCTTCAAAGCTGGTATCCTTGCCAGACTTGAAGACAGACGTGACGAAATTCTAAAGGTGATCATGACCAACTTCCAAAGCCGTGTCAGGTAAGCCCTTTACCGTAATCGTATGGTGGAAATCTGGGTTACAACTGGTAACTGCACTGAAACTCAACATCTTCAGATGGTACCTTGGTCTCACCGACCTCAGGAGAAGAATGCAACAACGTGCTGGTTTGCTCATTGTCCAGCGCAATGTCCGCTCATGGTGCACCCTACGTACATGGGAATGGTTCAAGCTTTACGGAAGAGTTCGTTACAAACAACTTGATAGAAAAAAGCGAACAGCCGCTTAGGTGCACCCATGTTTAGGTCAAGCCCCTGCTCAAGGCCGGAAAGGAACACGAGGAAATGGAAAAACTGTCGAACAAAATCCAAGAGTTGGAAGAGGCCGTTGCCAAGGGTGATGAGAGCAGAAAAGAATTGGAAGCACAGGTGGAGTGATAAAAAATTCTGTGGTTGAGAGCTCCAAATGAAAAGGCTTCCAATTAAGGTAGCTGGACTCGTGGAAGAGAAGAATCAATTGTTCCTAAACTTGGAGAAAGAGAAAGCCAACTTGCAAGATGCCGAAGAAAGAAATCAGAAGCTAGCTGCCTTGAAAGCAGATCTCGACAAGCAACTCGCTGAAGTTCAAGTATGGGGATAAAGAAGTTGTTTGAATTTTGCAAATAGACCGCGTATTCTAGGACCGCCTTGCCGATATGGAAGACCGAAACAATGACTTGTCCAGATTGAAGAAGAAGGCAAGTCGATATGAGAAGGTGTCTCTGATCCTGTCTAAGCTAATCCTTTTACAGTATGAGCAAGAGATTGCCGAGCATAAGAAGCACGCCCAGGATCTTGAACTTTCTCTGAAGAAGGCCGAAAGCGAGAAGCAGGTGAGTCGGGACGTTCGATAACCCACCCTGGATCCTACTTTCATTTTCACGATAAACAACGCTGTCTAGGCTCGCGACCATAACATTCGCTCTCTGCAAGATGAAATGGCCAACCAGGATGAGGCAGTTGCCCGTCTCAATAAGGAGAAGAAACATCAAGAGGAGGTATCTCTCGAGATATAATGAGAACCCAGGCGATCAAAGTTTGTAAAATGGGTATAGGTCAACCGCAAGCTTATGGAAGACCTCCAAGCCGAAGAGGACCGCGTCAACCATATGGAAAAAGTCCGAGCCAAGCTTGAACAACAATTAGATGATCTCGAAGACTCCATGGACCGCGAGAAACGATCACGTCAAGATCTCGAGAAGTAAAAAAAACACCTCTTGAAACTTTTTCTAAGAAAGACAAGTGTGCACTTTTCAGGGCCAAGCGAAAGGTTGAAGGTGAACTCAAAGTTGCTCAGGAGAACATTGACGAGATCACAAAGCAAAAGCACGATGTTGAACAGAATCTCAAGAAGTAATTATAGAATCTAGAGAAGTGGGCAAAAAACTGAATTTCTCTTGCCTTGTAGGAAGGAAGCAGAACTTCATCAGCTTTCTACCCGTCTAGAAGAGGAACAGTCTCTTGTTGCTAAGCTCCAGCGACAGATCAAAGAACTCCAAGCCCGTATTGCCGAACTTGAGGAGGAACTCGAGAATGAGAGGCAGAGCCGCGCCAAGGCACGCACTTTTTACAATTATTTGCTGTTTTCAGCTATAAGGCATAAATTTAGGCTGACCGATCACGATCAGAACTTCAACGCGAATTGGAGGAGATTAGCGAGCGACTTGAGGAACAAGGAGGAGCCACAGCCGCTCAGCTGGAAGCCAACAAGAAACGCGAAGCTGAACTGGCTAAACTGCGCCGCGACCAAGAGGTAAATGAACTCTCTCGTGAAAGACGGATTCCCAAAAACTTTCTCTTTTAGGAAGCCAACCTCAACCACGAAACAGCTTTGGCCTCACTTCGCAAGAAGCATCATGATGCCGTTGCTGAATTGACTGATCAACTTGAACAGCTCCAAAAACTCAAAGCTAAGGCAGACAAGGAAAAGGCTCAACTACAACGCGAACTCGAAGAGTTGTCCTCATCTGTAGACAGCGAAGTTCGCTCCCGACAGGATATTGAGAAGCAGTTGAAGGTTGTCGAAGTACAGTATGCCGAAGCACAAACGAAAGCCGATGAACAATCACGACAGCTCAATGACTTTGCTGCTCTCAAGGTATCGTAATTCATCTTAATGACCTAACAGAGAATAGAACGGGAGTTAGAATTGGGAAATCCAAAATCTCGCTTTAGAACCGATTGCACAACGAAAATGGAGACCTTGGACGCCAGCTTGAGGATATGGAGAATCAGCTAAACAGCCTGCACCGCTTGAAAGCTCAACTCACTAGCCAACTGGAAGAGACCAAACGCAGCTTTGATGAGGAAGCTCGGTAAGCCACGAAAATTTGCTATCTAGGACTAGAAAAACACATTTCTTCCAATTTAGTGAACGACAAGCTCTGGCCGCTCAAGTGAAGAACTTCGAGCACGAGAATGACAGCCTTCGTGAGCAACTCGACACGGAATCGGAAGCCAAAGCCGAACTCTTGCGCCAGATTAGCAAGCAGAACGCTGAAATCCAGCAATGGAAAGCACGATTCGAAAGCGAAGGACTTGCCAAGCTTGATGAAATCGAGGAAGCCAAGTAAGTTGCCATTGCTTACCTGATGTCTCAAAGATATTAATCTTTTGCCGTCTAGGCGCAAGCTTCAAGGAAAGGTCCAGGAACTGACCGAAGCCAACGAGATGGCCTTTGCCAAGATTGGATCACTCGAAAAGACTCGCCACAAGCTCATGCAAGACCTCGATGATGCACAGGTACGAGAGCTAAAGAAATCAATAAAGATGAAATTGGAGATTGCAATTTAGGTTGATGTTGAACGTGCCGCCTCATATGCCGCTGCTCTAGAGAAGAAGCAAAAAGGTATAATTCCATTTATGGAACTGCTATTAGCTAGAAGCTAGCCTGAAAATCAACTTCAGGATTCGACAAAATCATTGATGAATGGAGAAAGAAGCACGATGACCTTGCCGCCGAACTTGACGCCGCCCAGAGGGATAACCGCAACCTTTCCACTGATCTCTTCAGAGTGAGTTTCCAAACATCCTAGATGAGATTGCAACCAGTAACATCGCACAACTTTAGGCAAAAACCGCCCAGGATGAACTCGCAGAGCATCTAGAGAGTGTACGCCGTGAGAACAAACAACTCGCACAGGAAGTAAAGGATCTTGCTGACCAGCTCGGTGAAGGAGGACGGTGAGCTATAACTAGTCATGGTTTTCCAGAGCTCTTCAAGTAACGTTCATTCCAGCTCCGTCCATGAACTCCAGAAGATGGTTCGCCGATTGGAAGTTGAGAAGGAAGAACTGCAGAAGGCTCTTGATGAGGCTGAAGCTGCACTTGAAGCAGAAGAAGCTAAGGTAAAATATTGCAAAACATGTCTAATAACATCCCTTAAAACGTGATTTAGGTTCTTCGTGCCCAAGTGGAAGTATCCCAGATCCGTTCAGAAATTGAGAAACGCATCCAGGAGAAAGAGGCAAGAGCTTATTATTCAAAAATCCTATTAAGGTTATTCGACTATTGATTTCTAGGAAGAATTCGAGAATACCCGCAAGAATCACCAACGCGCATTGGAAAGCATGCAAGCAACCCTGGAGGCAGAGACCAAGCACAAGGAAGAAGCACTCCGTATCAAGAAGAAGCTTGAAGCTGACATCAACGTAAGCTTACACTGCTTCGAGTTGGACTCGATACAAAAAAAAATATTTTAGGAACTTGAAATCGCATTGGACCATGCCAACCGAGCAAATGCCGATGCTCAGAAGACTATCAAGAAATACATGGATACAGTTCGCGAGCTGCAATTGCAGGTTGAAGACGAACAGAGACAGAAGGATGAAATTAGGTAAGGAATTAACGTCATTAATTTGAAAATATGATTTTTTAAAATCGATTGTCGATTCTTCAGGGAGCAATTCCTCAACTCCGAAAAGCGCAATGCTATCTTGCAAACGGAGAAGGAGGAGCTTTCGCAAGTGGTATGTCAGCTATCGTAGCAAGCAGCTACTCTAGTGTTAGTGTAGCAGTTCATAGTCGAATATTGACATTTTTCAGGCCGAAGCAGCCGAACGTGCCAGACGCAATGCCGAAACCGATTGCATCGAACTCCGTGAACACAATAATGACCTTTCTGCACAGCTCAACGGAATCACTGCTATCAAGAGAAAACTCGAAGGAGAATTGCAAGCCATGCATGTAAGCTGCAGAGCAAACATCGCTATTTTTGGGCACAAACGAATGATATTTGCAGGCCGAACTTGACGAGACCCTTGCCGAGCTCAAGAATGTCGACGAAATGGGCAAAAAGGCTGCCGCCGATGCTGCTCGTTTGGCTGAAGAACTGCGCCAAGAACAGGAACACAGCATGCACGTCGAACGTATCCGCAAGGGCCTTGAAGTACAAATCAAGGAGATGCAAGTAAGCAGCCAGTACTTAAGAAAAACAAAACAGAAAACAACAGCCTTGTTCAGATCCGTCTCGATGAAGCTGAAGCCGCCGCGCTCAAGGGAGGAAAGAAGATCATCGCCCAACTCGAAACCCGAATTCGTAGCCTTGAACAGGAACTTGATGGAGAACAAAGGTAATTGTTTATTTTATGTCTATACTAAACATGCAGATAAGTAAACACTCTATTTAGACGCCACCAAGAGACCGATAAGAACTGGCGCAAATCCGAACGCCGTGTCAAGGAGGTGGAATTCCAATTGGAAGAAGACAAGAAGAACCAAGAACGACTCACTGAACTCATTGACAAACTGCAAGCTAAGCTCAAGGTGTTCAAGCGACAGGTTGAGGAAGCGGTACGTAATGCACCGTTCTAGAAAAATTTGGTGCCAAAAGTCCATTATCTTGTTTTCAGGAAGAAGTCGCCGCTACCAACCTCGGAAAGTACCGTCAACTACAGGCTCAACTTGATGATGCTGAGGAACGCGCAGATGTTGCCGAAAATGCGCTAAGCAAGATGCGTAACAAGGTAAGAAGCTATAAACTCTTAGAAATCCCACATTTTTATTCATTGCTCACATAAATCTCTTCAGATCCGCGCTTCCGCCTCAGTGGTACCCTCTGGACCCGGTGGTTTGGCACAATCCGCTAGTTCGGTCGTCCTACGAAGCAGCTCGTTTGCAAGAGGTGGCAGAGCAAGCGAAGACTTCTAAGCACCTTTTCTGTCCCTAATTAAACGTTATTACCCTTTGCATATAATTTTTGCTCTGCTCTGTTGTCCGCCTTTGGTCAATTATGTGTGCTCAAATCGTGTATATCCTTCTGCAAAATGTTGTCTTCATGTTTTCCTCAAATTCCATTCTTTACGATATCAAAGCTTTAGTGAAAAAAACTGTACCGTATTGTTGAGAATATGGTCAAAAACCTACGAGCGCTCTAGTCATGTGTAATATATCCCTATATGGGAGACGATAAACGTTCTCAATATGTACTGTAAATCCAGTTGCAAAGTTTATAAACAGGGCATTATATACAACACGAATGACACAGATTAAAAAAAAAACAGGATAAGTGAGCACATAGAGATTCCGATATTAAGATGTTCTTGAGATACAAAAATAATGAGGGCAATTTCGTCAGACACTGTTAGAGAACAAAAATCATCAGTCTGTCATCATATTGTCATTTGTTACTTCCAGCTTCTTGATGAGAGACGAAAGAACTTCATTAACATCATTAGCTTCTTGCAAGTTGTTTGTCAAGTCATTGAGAACGAAACGATTCTGAAAAGTAGCCTTTGAGGGAATCGAGCGTAGATGAGATGCCAAGCCACAACTTTCATGTGTTTACTCATGACTTGGAAGAAAGAAAAAACAAAATTTCGCTAGCAGTGTAGCGATTGTCCGAATACTAAGCCCCTGACGCAGACTATTTCGTCCTCATATTTCCCTAACCCACATGACAACAGATAACAGTTGTGTGAGACTTTTGAAAAAAGCACTGTTCACGGAGTAGGGATGTAAGAGCACCACTTTGGATTTTCCATTTGGCATCATAGCAACTATCAGTAACCTTGGAAATCCCCAAAAGTTTGAAAAGAAGTTTCCCTTTATTTGGCTGTAACTAGATTTTGCAACCTTTCTTTCTACCTTTTTTCTCTTTGAGCAAGACAGGCTCAAGTTTTGCCATTATGTAAGCTCTGACTTAAAGGCAGTGGGTCGGCAGGATGAGACCCGTGGCAAAACAAGGTCACAGGGTAGGAGCCCCATAATGGAACCTATGGGCCAAAGTTCGATCTTTCTCTGCCACCTCTAACCCCCGAAATTTCAAAGCGAAAGCAGCCTCATCTCCTGTCCTCCCCGAACCCGCCCACCCCATGGACGAGTGACTTCCACGGTCAGAGTGCCAGCGGCAATGCTATAAGCATGAGGTCCCGCAACGACTCTGCGTCTTCGCCATGACGGGCTTTGCGTTCACTCGTCCATGGGGTGGGCGGGTTCGGAGAGGACAGGAGATGAGCGCCGCTTTCGCTTTGAAATTTCGGGGGTTAGAAGTGGCAGAGAAAGATCGAACTTTGGCCCATAGGTTCCATTATGGGGGCTCCTACCCTGTGACCTTGTTTTGCCACGGGTCTCATTCTGCCGACCTACTGCCTTTAAGCTACAAGCGCAGCTACCATTCTGTTCAATTCTGACGTCGTAGTGAGGGCTATGGTAGGTACGGTATGAGGGGAGAACTTTTGCATCCAAGATTTGGCTGAAACTTGGCTAGGGGGCTATCCAACATGCTGATCTTGAAAACGATTTTGAATTTGCGTGGAAGGACATTAGCAAGACTACGGTAGGTTTTTGGGGGTTCGCCCTAAACACTAAAAGAGGGGTTAATCGAACAAACGAATATGATTTTGTGTTCAGTAGGTCAGGTACACCCTTACACCGAATTTCGACGAATTCTGAGATTCCGTTATCTTAACCCTTGACAGTGCCCCTCAGCAGCTTGCGTACAACCACTCGTTCAACTTCGCGAAAGCGCCAAATCTCGACTTATCTTCAAGTTTCATTTCTTATTCGTTGAGCCAAATAAGACGATCTCTGGGCACAATCTGTGTATAATTTCAAATCGTTGTGCGTGGTCTAGGTTGCAAACGGCTTATTTTTGCTTGACCCCATAAATCCTCGTATTTCACTATTTTTCGAGAAATGTCTGGATTTCTTTTGCTTTGTTATTAAAAAGAGAGCGGTTTGCTCCAGTTTGTAACCCGCATCCCACTTTGCAAAATGTAACAAAAAAGAGCGCGCCAAGACCAAAAAGTGAAAAGTTACGGAAGGAGTTGCAAAGCTTAGTTAACAGCCTAATATATTTGTGCTCTCACAGAGCTTAGAGAAGAAAGCTCAAAAGTGATGGTTCAAGCAGTTTCAGAATTTCGATAATTTGCGCTGATCGAGGCAGTCTTCTGTGGAAATCGAGTATGGGTGAAAGGTAAATTGTAGTCATTAGAGAATGCGTCACGTACCCGTGAGCTGATTGTCGGATGCCGAAGAAACTTTGTATTGGCTTGTAACAAAACCACGAAGGCTCAAGATTTCAGAGCGGTACATTCCGCTCAGAAATCGAACGAACCGGAAACATTATGAAGTGTAGATCTCATGAGCAAGACATTGAAAAAGAAGTGGGTTTTTTTTTCCTTCAAAGACGTCTGATTCGGTACAGCACTTCTTTTCGCGATGGGTAAGATAGTAGGAAATATCATTAGCCACATAGGAAACTTCCCTTGATGATTTTTTGCTTATCGAAGAAAAATCACAGAATACTTGTCAAATGCAACCGGCCAATTCTATCGTTAGTCCAGAACAAATATTCTCTGACAGCTATAATTTCACTCCTACAAGGAAAGGAAGGTAAGTCAAAGTGGCCTTTTAATATAAGATGGATACTGCTTTGAAAAGTATGAAACGCTGATTCCAAATCTACCTTCCATATCTGCTACGGTTTTCTGAGCGAGGAGTTATGAAGGTTTTAATGAGCAAAATTTCGAATGTGCAGCTGGGATAAAATCAGTCGTAAAATTTTTCCTAGGACTTAAACGACTTTTCGGGTTGCTCTATGCAATAAATATTCTCAAATCAAACACATACACGTAACGCCGCCTCATTTGAACGCTAGGAAAAGTCAACAACAGATTTTATACTGATCATGCATTGGAAATTTTGCCCATGAAAACCTTCATAACTCCTTGCTCAGAAATCCACAGCAAATAGAAAAAGTGGATTTCGAATCAGTGTTTCAAACCATTCAAACCAGTATACATAGCACAGTGAAAGGCCACTTCCTGACCTTCCTTTCCTTGTTAGACCAGTGTGAAGATTTCCGGTGACCATTTTTTCGAAATAGCTCCTAGGCCATAAAATAAGCGCTGCCATCGTTCATTTCCGCTCAATATCCCTACTCTAACATTTGCTGACGTAATATGAATTTTATGGATTTGCTCAGGTATATTTTGGCTACACTTTCAAGAAGATTTCTTTAGGTGGAAAAGTCTTGGTTGAGCATCCTATTAAAAATTGATACTTGAACAAGAAGAGCTCAGACTAATTTCCACCAGCACGAAGTTGGTCGCAATGGGCACATTTTTAGCAAAGCCGTTGTCTTGGAATGCTCTCACAAAAACCTGCATTTATTCTGTCAAATGTAGGCGATGTTGTATATTCATTGGTTAGTCTTATAAATCGAATTTCATATTCTGACTAACCTCAACGATCATTTTCGCCAGCACCTCACAGTTTCGTTCCATTTCTGTCACAGTTACTTCATTCGATAGTGACAGTTCAAAGTTCGGCTCATGCTCTGGGAGAGTAACATAGCGAGGTATGCGAAGAATATATTTGAGAACGCGATCCTGTAAGTAAATGCCTCTCAATAGGAAAACTAATCCGGGCCCGAAGGGCTTTTGCATATATGATATATACAACGAACATATTAGTTCTTGGGGATGCCAATTTTCGTGAGGTAATATATGCCCCACATAAGAGCCCTCTTTTAGCTTCGAATCGCTCTAACCAACGCCTTCTCCCCCCAGTCATAATATATCACTCCTGACATTTAATTGTTTTAGCATGCTAAACCACCGCTTAAAGGCAGCGGCTCGGCAGAATGACAGTTTTGGGAAATTCATCGTCCTCGGTTCCCCTGGGGTTAAATCCAAGACTGTGTTTTGCAGCTTTAAAGGAAATAACCCGCTTTTCCAGACGTGAAAAATACTATTTGGGCGGACGGCGTAAGCCTGGCATCTGAACGCGATTGGCATGTGAACGGAGACACCGTACGATCCGGCGGCAATTGGATTATTGGCTACAGCCACTTTCGCGACCCGCCCAAACAACACTTTTCACTCTAAGAAAGCGAGTTATTGATATCATTCGAAACTACAAAGCACAGTTTCACTCAGTTCATCCAAGGGAGTCAAGAACATGAGTATTCCAAACTTGTCATTCTGCCGAGCCACTGCCTTTAAGTTCGTAAAAAAAAGCGATTGTGCCAAAGTTCGTCAAAATTCACGTTGGACTGTCACATCTCGGGTAGTGAGCATATTCGTCAACAAAATCCTGCGGGTTAGTCTACCCAGAAGGTAGCTTAAAACATGATATTGGTAGAAGAGCAAATGGGTTAGAGCATCAGAGAGTTAAGCTTGCCGCTGGCTAGGCTAATGGCGTAAGCGTTGTCGAGTACCGTGGATTATTACCCACTGGGTAGGCTAAACACGTTCTTTGATGAATACGGCCATTGAACTCAAGTGCTTGAGTCACCTCGAAACCGCGTTTTTCTAAATATAGAGCTGCCTCTGTGGATACGGTGAGTATGCGTTAAATCAGTGGCGTACCCGGGATTTCCGTTCAGGGGAGAAATTTTTCGGAGTGCTTTCCAGAATTTTCGCGGGCCCATAACTCCGCAAAAAAATTTTTTTATGAGGCTGAGTAGAATTTTTAAAAAATCCAAAAAATTATTTTAATTATTTACAAATATAGGAACAAGTCACTTGCCAATTTTATAACTCATGTAAGTAAATCTCAAGAAATTCGCTACCATTCTCGGAGGAAGGTCCCCCTCCCTCTCGTTACGCCATTTTTTAACTTTCGGTGTTTTTGTGGTTGTTTACGAATTGTAAGATTGTTTTGTAGGCAACTATGAACATTTCCTTGAACGATGGAGCCTACAGGTCCCAAGAGTGCAATTTGGAAAAAATATTAATATGTGGAAGAAGCTAGGCCTACAAAATATGACTCTGCAGGAGGCATGGGCCACCAGCAAAAAGTGCGTGGGTCGCCGGTGGTCCACATCGGCGTCAAGGGCAAGTAAAGGCACCGTTCACCCAGATTCTCAAATTCCGTGTTTTGGTCGTTCCGGGCCTTCTCGTGTTTCTGATTCCGAATATGAAATAGGAAATCCGCGAAAACTTCGACGATCCAGTTCCAAAAAGCCCACAGGCAGCTTCTCCAGAACGGTATTGGATGGGCGCGCACAAGTGGGCGGGCATTACTGGAGAGGGGCGATGTTGCTTGGGTCTCTGCCTCTTCGCTATTCCAGAGGATTTTCTCGCTTCCGAAGCGACATGTTGCGCAGCGACTTGGACAATGGCTTGATAGGGGGTCCTACTATCATAAGCTGCCAGAAGCTCAAGACATAACTTAGACGGTGCCTTTAATGCCTGTCTCCACTAACTTATAGACTTTACCTTACGGTAGATTACTGTGCTGATGACGCGTACATACATTAGCTGCCTCAAAGTGACCACCTAACATACCTGCCGTACCGAGATAGGCATTTCTACAAAGTAGAAATTGCGCGGCTTTACAAGAATTTTGAGTCCAAGTTTTGCTTGGACTCAGAATTCATACACTTTGGATCAACATATGGCGATCGCGAGCTATGAAGTAGATGTAAGAGTGATTAAAACCAAACATGAACTGCAATCGCGCAGATAGAATACTCTCAGATCGACCAATTCTATGGCGGCAGAATGGACGCGTACTGGGTCGCATTTACCCATAAAGCTACTTACTGTGAACACGCGAAAGGCATCCTTTACTTCCCGGCGGTGGAAAATCATACCAATAACGTATTCTCGAAACTTTTTGTTGTTTGCAATCTGGAAGGGGTGTAGATGTACTCAGTAATATTTTAGACGTACTTATACCAAAGCGTACCGATGCAAGAGAAGATTCAGATTTGACCCACTCTCCCACAGCTCCCTCCCATGATGCCAAAGCACTGTTGTAAACTAAATAAGACTATAGTCGGAAGTACGATTTTGCAATGCACAAACTTGAATCTGTAAATCCAGCTGGTGAGAATCCATAGTACTGATATTCGAATTCATTTACTAGCTCGGCCTCCGGCACTTCTATAGCCATACTTCTGCAAAAAAATGCAAATTTGAGTTGAGATACAAGGGCAACAGAAAGAGTCTGGTAGAAAGGAATCCGTTCTCTCACAAAAGCGCGTAATATGAAATCTTTATTACATTACTGCACGTAAAGCACGGGGGAAACAGATCACATTTCTCTCCAAAGATATGGTAAACAATGGACAATCGTTTTGAGTTAGTGCCACTCTTCCAGATCTTCAGCACTGAGGTGACTGCTAGTGGTATGCGTGCAAAGGAAAGCTGAACGTTTATCGGCCTAAAATAGCGAGCGGATAAGTAAACAATAAGCGATTCCGACTTCCTTTCACCTCATCTTCAATCGCTTCCTCCTCTTCGATAAAGCTCGTTCTATTTTCCAAGTAGCGCAACCTAGGATCACGAGTAAGATGGATAAGAGTCGTAGCGACCACAGAGTTGCCATGCAGATACAATGTTTCGTTCGTCCATAAGTCTGGTAATCTGAAAGGAGCTGATTCATTAATAAGCACTCTAAACATCAAAAATTACTCACTTTTGTAGCAGATCAGGTTTGACATGGATTAATGGTACAGTGGTCTCATAGTGCACCTTCGTAATGTCAACGATTGGAGTTGAACAATACTTGTTGATCACCGACCTCAAATCGTAATTAATGAAGTACAAGACACGAAGAACAGACACCTATCATTATGATATGTACGCATGGCAGATCAGTGCTTTGCTGAGAATTGAGCCATACTTCGCTGCTACGGTCGTTAACGGCAAGAAGTTTCAAAATAATCTCAGTTGCAACATTATCTTCCGCACATGATACTGCAGCTAAACTGACGTTTTCCTTACAAGAACGTGGATCGAAGAATACAAAACGGATTAGTTTATCCTTCAGAAAAGCAACACCTGTAGCAGTAAAGTATGGTCTAATCCCAACTGCTATTACCCTAATTTCACGCGTACAAGGCGCACCTTTTTCGATTTTTCAACCTAGTCCCTCAAGCGATCCTTATGCCATACGATTCACTCAAGCAATATACAGCACCGCATAGGATTCTTTCTTTGCAAAGAGTCCTTCGGCGTGTTTGGGCTGGTCGATTTTGGAAAAAAATCCCCCGCGCCTTGTACGCGTGAAATTAGGGTAGTTCAAAAGAGATCAAACAAAACCCTCACCTCGTCATAGTTGTAAGGATATGCTCAGGCAATGTAAGGTGTCGCTGAATTTCAAGCATAGTTTGAAGAGCAAGATGTAGGGGAAGAAGCGCTCGAGCTCTTTCCTCAGGTGTTGCATTAGGCTGAGGTTTCAAGTCCAGATCCGAGTCATTTGTCATGAACCCGGCGGTGATGTAGGCTTGAACCATGTCCCTAAATGCAAAGTTAGACATGTTGACAGACTACCTATTGACATTTGGTAATATTCTATCGTGTAAGCTGCTCAGACCAGGCCTGCTGCATTGGCTATGGCATAAAAGTATAGGGCATTCGAAAAATCGTGACGATGGCGCGACCGCGCGCAGCACGCACGACTCCCAATTCTTGATTTCTATATCTTATCGAATAGTTTTTCTGCTTACATATGATAGTATACAGGAACTAGAAGTGACTGAGCTTAGCGTCGAGGTGTTGCCTGCTTGTATGAGTGTTTTATTCTTCTGTGTGCGGAAAGACCAGTCAACTCATCGTCACGATTTTAAAAATGAAGCATAGCGACATTGTAAGGCGTCCGCAGTTTAGTATATCATGCTAGTTTAACGCAGGTGAGCGGTTGTACTCGCTCTACGTTTCGGAAGGAACCCGATCCCACGCACTAGAGTTCAAGAGTAGTCAAACTATGATAAGTAAAGCCGCTCCATGCTGAGATACACTGACCTCCTAAAACGTTCTACGCCTATCTCAAGAAGAATCTGGATTGATGTTAAGGCTTCAAGTCGAGGTAGCATCAAATTACGGGATTGTGCATCCCTGATAAGACGTGCAATAGTGGACTTGTTGTCTTCATGCAACTAAAAAATTGCATTAACTTTCGTGATAACAGTGGAAATATCAAAGTACTCAAAATGACCTACTATGGCATTGATACGACATTGTTTCAGTGCGTCGAAAACTATATTCAGTCCAGCAACTAATGTTTCGAAGTTTGGGCACTTCTTCAAGATATCCCATAGAAGTTCGGTGAAGTCCACATGTCTAGAAAATAATTACGTGATATAAGTTCGAGCACGAAAATGTGATACCTTGTTCCATGGGCTGTGTTTTTGGTTTCGTTATTTTGAACTCTATATTTCGCAATGAGTTCGCGGACTTCCTCAAGTATCTCATTTATGGCAATTTCATTGGCGGTTGGCCAGACCATTTTTGCTCCAGAATCCAACACAGATGCCATTAGCTTAAAAAAATGCAATAACATCCCCTCAAACAACTAAATTGACTTACCAGCAGATATTCAAGTTCTTCGGTGTTCTCTAGAAGAGCTACTCGCTTGTCTTTCCACCCTGGTGAAAACCGAAACATCGCTATCGCAGATGGTGATGGAGCCAGTAAGTAGTCTTTTTCCTCAAAAGTTCTACTAAAAAAAGAAAAAACACAGAATTTATAGACAGACCTTTGCCTCCCATTTGAATGTGAGAGTCATGTCCGAAAGAAGCATGCCGGGTCCCCACACTGAGGATGCTTTGTTCCCCAGTATCTGCAGATACTGATGGTACTTGCGACACTTGAAGGCTGAAGCTGACCTTGTACAGTGCCATTGCCTTGCTTCTTGTTTCTAATCCGTCCCCAAAACGTTGACAAAGGCTTTGAAGCATGCTCTCACATTCCGTTCCGAAACATCCTGCATAAATGTTAGGAATAAGTCACTCGCAAAAGCATGTATTGGCAATGAAATCAAAAACTGTACTTTTGCTAATCTAATATATAATCTAATATATAAAGAAACGTAAGCGCAATTCAAAAATCTGCAAATAGCGGGGGACCGCGTGGCGGTCCGAAGCGCGTGGATGCAGTCTAGAGCCTTTCATTACTGGTTTACTAGCCAAATAACAAAATGATAAATCAGCGCAAAAAAATTTATCTTCCAAACGCATAAGTATTGAAGATACAAAAAGTCAGGTGAAAGCAGGATCACATCCAAAAAAGTTAGTAAAAAATGCATGGATTATTGGAAGACTTGCCTAAACATCTAGTGTGAAAAGTTGAAATTTTCCCATCGGTCGCACAGAAACCCACGAACGTTGTTCCGAGCATATCAGCGTTAGCAGCAATCCAAATGGGTAGTTTATCAAGCTTCTTCTCCAACACAGAAGCAAAACTTTTAGACAGCATTCTAAACTTAATGGACAGAGTACCAAAAAAGGTTTTACTGAAAGATTTACCTGTTGCGGAGACCAAAAGCGACTTGCGCCTGCAATGGATTGCAGTCAAAATATGATGTTGATGTCACGATTTGATGCCCACGAAATCCTGACTACCTTGTAATAATGATGCTGAGAATGGAGGCAAATTTATACTCACTGTCGGTCTCATCACTGCATCGTTCTAACTTGGAAAGAGACAGAAAGTCGAATGTAAGAGGGCCGCCTGGTCCTGCACTTTCGTAATCCATAGCTGATTCAGCGATGTTATGCTGCTCAGGGGCACATACTGTTTTGTCCTTATCCTTGAAAACTCATACTGCTAAAATCTGTCGAGTTCATCGAACGTGCATTCACATTTCTGAAGCGCTTCAAGAAGGGACCGCACGGCTATAGATGATACTCGGGGCAATTAGCATCACTGCGACGAAATAATGCGAAAACGACTAAAAATTTGACTATGGACATCTCATTATTGGCCTGTATGATGCCACCGAATGCAGTGGGACATAAGCATATAAAGAGCGGAAAAGAAATTCTAGAGACGTTTAACACTCCAAATTTAGTGTTCGATCGGCACTTACCACATTTTCGCCTGGAAGATCTATCAAGACGACGTCGGTTTGCCTATTACCATAGAAGTCAGTTAGAATCGGAACCTCAATACTTTTGCATTTTCGAACGCGATATTTCGAAAGCTGAAAAAGAAGGATGAACCAAATCTTTAACTCAACACTGGCTGCAACACCTACCAACAACGACTCAGGATCCTCCTTTGCGAAATCGAGAGGCTGGTTGTGAATGTTTGTGATCAGCTCCATCATCTAAGTTAACAAAGACAGAAGAAAAAATAAAACGGTTTAGATTTGTAAATGAGGCGAGCAGGAACTTCAGCGTTTTGAATTTTATAATTTGGCGCGCTGAAATGTTCCGCCGACCTTTCAAACGCGCGTTTTTTGGGTCATGCTAGGAAAAGCAAAGCTGAGCCTAGTAATTTCGCTTTCGTGACTTCTTCAATATTTGCGATCAGCGTACCGATAAGTTTCGCAATAATAAAGTCGAATATTAGGAAAGTTACATATTGGATGCATTGCAAGGATGGGAATAAGGTAAGACTGTCTCGAGTGTTATACGCGCTGATTGTCGAAAAGCCGGAAGAATCTTTTCATCCCTGAGTTATAGACTCAATTGCTAACATTGAAGGGAAGCAAAAGAGAAGTTCGGTGGCTTCAAAAACTATATATGAAGTTACGGTTCCCTGCTCGCTGTAAGGGTTAAAAGCAGAAACGAAGTGATTTTTGGGTTACTTCCCACCACAGGCTAAAATTGGACTCGATCAGAAAGCACCAGGAACTAGTCGTGATTTTACACTGCTACAAACAAACAGGGCTCAAAAATGTGTTTACTGTTTGATCGTTAATTAACCTCTTGCTGCGAGTTAGAGAGGCTTCAGATACCACTTTGCATAGCTGGCAATTTGCCATTAGATTTACACCATTTACCATTTATAGAGCAAATCACCGGTCGCTCTTCAGAATTACGCTAGAGACTTTGAAGACTGTTTGAGCGATGGAGGGCCATATTTTGCTTCACAAACAAAGCGACCTGAAAATTCTCGCACTAGGCTAATTAGAGTTGCTGATTCTATATTTTGCATCTCATCATAATACTTTCTTGTAAAGTTATGCCAGATAAATAGCGGCAGCGGTTATCTTATATATAAAGCTGAATGTCTGTTTGTCTGTATGTCTGTCTGTCTGTCTGTATGTACGTATGTTCCGAATAGAAAATTCCATTTCTGAACCGATCCGGACCAAACTTGGCACACATACACTACGGGCCCCGGCGGGTGTCATAGGCTACTTTTCGTCATCGATCGATATCGATTTTATCGATTTTTATCGATTTTTTTGCTGAGTTCACCTACGGGGCTGGGAGTTGGCACAGGGGGGTAATCGAGCATGGGGATTCCGAATACAGTATTGGTTTTCAGGATTATCGATTACTTTTATCGATTTTATCGATTTTTTTGCAAAGTTTGAGCTACGGGGCTGGGAGTTGGCACAGGGGGGTAATCGAGCATGGGGATTCCGAATACAATATTGGTTTTCAGGATTATCGATTACTTTTATCGATTTTATCGATTTTTTTGCAAAGTTTGTGCTACGGGGCTGGGAGTTCGCACAGGGGGGTAATCGAGCATGGGGATTCCGAATACAATATTGGTTTTCGGGATTATCGATTACTATTATCGATTTTATCGATTTTTTTGCAAAGTTTGAGCTAGGGGGCAGGGAGTTGGCACAGGGGGGTAATCGAGCATGCTGATCACCCCCAAGGGGGGTGATCAGCATGCTCGAACACCCCTGTGCCAAATTCCAGCCCCCTAGCTCGAATTTTGAAAAATCGATAAAATCGATAAAAGTAATGGACGATCCTGAAAACTAATATTGTGTTCGTAAACAGCATGCTCGATTACCACCCTGTGCAAACTCCCAGCCCCGCAGGTCAAACTTTACAAAAAAAATCGATAAAATCGATAAAAGTAATGGACGATCCTGAAAACTAATGTTGTATTCGGAATCCCCATGCTCGATTACCCCCCTGTGCCAACTCCTAGCCCTGTAGGTGAACTCTGCAAAAAAATCGATAAAAATCGGTAAAATCGACATCGATCGATAACGAAAAGTGGACTGTGACACCCGCCGGGGCCCGAAGTGTATGTGTGCCAAGTTTGGTCCGGATACGGCGGAGCCGGGTAAGCCAGCTAGTTTCGATGTAAAAATATATTACACATTTGAAAAACTTCACAGTCCTATAAATATTATTACTGATTCGTGACAATTTTACAAACCGCTAAAAACGGCCGAACTTATTTTTTAGCCAACCTAATAGTTTAGTCTTGAACTCAACATCCATGAAAACCTTAACACACAAGATTTACATTGACAGCTTTTCACACTGACGCCATATGCCGGATATTCCCACCGTAATGGTACAGTAACGAAGAGAAATCGGAGATTCGGTACATACCGTCTGCGCACCAGAGAGGTTCCCATGTGAACCAGCGTGCGTACGTGGTGCGACGCTGCCTTAAGCTCTTTTTGACACGTTTCTCCTCAGATTTCAACGGAAGTGCCCGAGGTTAACACGTTCAAAAGTGCAGAAGGCAGCGAGATGACGTGGTGCCTATGGGAACCTCTCTGGGGCGCAGACGATACTGTACGCCTAAGTTGAAGTGAGCTCTACAGAAGGTATTCAAAGCTTCTGGAGAGATTTCATGACAAGAGGTAATTAGCAATCAAACAGTGGGCGTTTTTTGGGACACCCTGTAGTGCAAAATATGTTATTGGGGACTTGAAACTATACCAGAGATCTTTCTCTAATGGGATATAGACACGGTCAAGCGTGGGGTGTGGCATGCCACACCTGGCGGGTTGCACTGAAGGGTTGTGGATAACCTCCGGTAAGTGGATTATCTAGAAATCGAGTTTTTGCCCAAAACTGCCTTTAACATCCCCACTGGGGAGGAGATCGCAGCTTAGAAAGAAAGCTCCATATTTTGAAGCTCCAGATATCTAGATTTACGCTGTATACCTATCCGTAAGTATTTCTACCATTCTTCGCTATGAACATATCGAACAGGAGCGAGAAGCTTACATGCCGCATTCTCTAATACTTTGTATGATCCCCTTATGATCCTCGGCGGCAGATCGTTTTTTCTTTTTTTTTTCTCTTCAAAGTTAGCGAAAACATTTCAAAGTTGAATTGTTCATCTAACCCGTGCTAAGAATTTGCTGATAAGACAGTTGAGTTTTCGAAAATTCGATTTTTTCGATAAACCCCAACATTCGACGTATGGTCGTATTCATCGCAAATTCCATGACTCCAATACATCCTTTGTTCTTATCAGCAACATGCTTAATTAGCACAGTTGGGCTAGTTGAACAGTACAACTTTGGAATGTTTTCGCTAGCTTTGAAGAAAGAAAAACGACTTTGTAGAAAAGATGGTCGGCCGCCAGGGACCATACAAAAGGCTGCAAAATGCGGCTTGTACAGCTTCTCGCTCCTGTTCAATATGTTCAAAGTGAGGGATGGTAGGAATACTTACGGATGGTAGACAGCGGGAAATCCAGAAGTTCGGAGCTTCAGGATATGAAGCTTTCTTTTAAAGGCAGTGGCTCGGCAAATCTCAACCTAGTCAAATTTGCGCTTACCTGGGGTTTTTCAATACGCTGATCCCGAAAATTCACTTTTGAAAGCTTGAAAAGGCGAAAATGAGCGTTTTTTAATGCCCTTCCCTTTGATATTGGACGAGCGGAGCAAGGCCGATGACGCTAAATCGTGGAGGACCCAATGGTTAAACCGTTGCGGCGGGCAGCCTCGCAAGCTGCAGTTCCCTCCCCGGCGTGGATGTTAACACATTGACGACAGCTTGACACACATGGTGTGTCAAGCAATGACTACCGCGTGGGACCGCTTGACACACTATGTGTGTCAAGACTTGAATTTTGTTAAAATGACCACTATCTTGGGATAAACTCACCCCATGAGCTCTCTTTTGCACTAAATCTAGGGATGACCTCTACTTTTTTGTCAACCTTTTAGGTCTACTGCAGGTGTACTGTAGATGGTATCATGCGTAATTATAGTTGAGAAATGTGGGCTGATCCGTAAAAGGCCTTGGTCCCAGAAGGCAGACAAATAAAATTCTGCGTGGTCGTCAATGTGTTGATGCATGCGGTCCTAAGGGCACCGCAGCTTAAAAGAAAGCTTCACATCCTGAACCTCCATATATCTGCATTTCACGCTGTATACCTATCCGTAAGTATTCCTACCTTTCTTCACTGTAAACATATTAAATAGGAGCGAGAAGCTGTACAAGCCGCATTTTCCAGCCTTTTGTATGATCCCCTGATGATCCCCGGCGGCCGACCGTCGTTTTTTCAAAGTCATTTTCCTTTCTTCGAAGTTGGCGAAAACTTTCCAAAGTTGTACTGATTATCTAATCCAATAGTGCTAAGCATATTGCTGATGGGAACAAACGAGTTTTTGAAATATCGAATTTTCCGATAAACCCCAACTCTCGACTTGTGGTTCATCGCAAATTTCATGATTTGATAATTTCATGATCATATGAAAATCTGGAAAATGCGGCTTGTACAGCTTCTCGCTCCTGTTCAATACGTTCATAGTAAGGGATGGTAGGAATACATGGTAGGAATACAGGGCTTTTCAACCTGAGAGTCGCAAGTTTCGCTTGCGCGGCTCCTCCAACGCGGCCGCCTCGCTCAGGCCGCGCGCGGCGTTTGCTGCGTATCGCCCGGATTTCGCCAAGCTTCAGTCGACGCGCAGCCAGCGCCACGAACGCTGCGCGGACCTAAGCGTGGCGTCCTAGCGGGGCGGGTGGGACACTCAGGTTGTAAAGCCCTGTACGTACGGATAGGTAGACAGCGTGAAATCCACATATCTGGAGCTTCAGGGTATAAAGCTTTCTTTTGAAGGCAGTGGCTCGGCAAATCTCAACCTAGTCAAATTTGCGCTTACCTGGGGTTTTTCAATACGCTGATCCCGAAAATCCACTTTTGAAAGCTTGAAAAGGCGAAAATGAGCGTTTTTTAATGCCCTTCCCTTTGATATTGGACGAGCGGAGCAAGGCCGATGACGCTAAATCGTGGAGGACCCAATGGTTAAACCGTTGCGGCGGGCAGCCTCCAATGGTGAGAAGGAAATTGCCAACTCGTCCAGATGCGTGTAAGATTGGCCTGCGCGTGTAAGTTCGAGAGCGAATTTCTCGGCAGGGAAAGCATGCTGTGCAACCGGGATTGTACTGTTTTCATAGTTGGGCGATAAGGAACCTATCGCGTTAAAATCCCGAGTTGTTGGATTTTGCCGATCCACTGCCTTTAAGCTACGATCCCCTCCCAGTGGGAATGTTAGTGCATGCGGCCCTAATAGGAGT